ACCTAACAGGGCCTCCATCTGTTTCTGGCGTCACTGAAGTTGGTGGTGTGCAAAACTCCCCATTTGGCGCTCGCGGTGGTGAGGACAGAACGCCCGTCGACACCGGAGACACGCCTGCCTGCACCGGCGTTCCTGTCTGCTCGCCCGCATCAGCAACAGAGGGCGCCACAGGGCTCACAAAGAAATCCACCGTGAACTCTTCTTCTTCAGTCGCCGCATCCTCAGGATCACGCCACGCCCATGTCGCCGTCTCATCAAAAACGACATCCCGCGACACGCAGACGCGCTGCGCCACAGGATCATACATGCGGTATGCCTTCGACCCCTGTTCATAGCCAATAAAGACCATCCTCGTACCTCGATCGTCAAGCTTGCGCAGGTTCGGCTTCACCGTCTTGACGTAGCCGACACAGCCAAACACCCTAAGGTGTTCGACCGAGGGACGTCGCCCATGCCACGCCTCATATGGGGTCACACCATCCAGCGCCTTCGTTGGCGAGCGATTCAGAACGTACACCGCCGCCACAACAGCCTCCCCCCAGAACCGCGCCGGCAGCCCAGCCGCCTTGAGCATGGAGCGCGCCGCCGCGACGACGGTCTGATTGCGCCGCTCCACGACTCTGTTTTGCTGCGGGGAGTAAGGAGCAGTGAGCTCTCGCCGCATCCCGCGATCGGTGCAGTAGTCCATGAACTCCACGGAGGTAAATTCCCCCCCACGATCTGTCCTCAGAGCCCGCAGCTTTCGCCCGGACTCCAGCTCAACGCCGGCTTGGAACTGTTTGATCGCCGTCGCCGCTTCATGCTTGCCGGAGAGGAGCCGTATCCACATATGCCGGCTCATATCGTCGACGAGGAGCAGGAAATACTTCCTGCCGCCTGGGGTCGCAGGCGTGATCGGCCCACACAAGTCGCCGTGCACCAGTTCGAGCGCCTCCTGTGCTCTAAACTTGGCCTCCTCCGGGAACGGGAGTCGTCGTTGCTTGCCCGCGAGACAACCGTCGCACAGTTGATCAGTGTGATCAATGGTCGGAAGCCCGCGGACCATGTTCCCCTGGGCCAGCCTCCGGAGTGACTGGAAGTTCAAGTGTCCGAAACGCGCATGCCACCGCCATGCCGTGTCGCCACCGCTCGCCGCCATGCAGACTGGATTTGCAATATGCAGCTTGAGTATGTAGAGATAATTTATGTCTCGTTTTACCTTTGCGAGGAGAAGACCATTGGGATCACGGAGTGTGCAGACCCCGCCCCAGATATGTGCGTCGTAGCCGCGCGCGTCGAGACGGCCGACGCTGATGATGTTCTTGCGCAGCTTCGGGATGTAGTACACCGCGTCGAGAGACCGGTGATCACCATTCTTGCATCGGAACACCACGGTCCCGCGCCCCTGGATTTCAATCACAGAGCCGTCGCCAAACTTCACCGTCCCAACAACGCCGGTGTCGAGCTCGGCGAACGCCGAACGCACTCCAGTCATGTGGTTGGTGGCGCCGGTATCCAGAAACCAATCTCCTGTCACCTCCTCCTCTCCACCATCCTCGTGGTCCAGGATCACCTTCTTCTCCGTGAGGTGTACCTCCTGTCCACTAGGTGTTCGTCCGAGTGTCGCCTCGCCAGCAAGTGACACCCCTACGACATGTGCCATAAGCAACGTCGGTTCTTCCTCGGCGGCTTGCACCAGGTTCGCCTCTCCCCGGCGTTGGCGACGTGGCTTGCGGCACTGCCTTGCATAGTGACCAAATTCATCACAATTGAAGCACTTTACCCTTGAGATGTCGCGGCTGCTGTTCGCACCAGTGGCCGCCTCTTTGCCCTTTGGTGACCCACCGGGCTTGCCTCGGTGATTCTGCGCGCCGGGCGCGCCGCGGCCCTTATTGCCGCTGTTGCCAGAGCCCTCCTGCTCCCGCTGCTTCACACGTGCCTGCCATTGTTCCTCCGTGAGGTACAATTTGCCGCCATTGCTTCCCTCCTCATCATCGCTGTAAGAATCCACTGTTGACAGCCGCCCAACTAGCTCCTCCAGCGCCATGGTCTTCACATCGAGCAGCTGCTCGAGAGAGATAGCCACCGGCTTATACTTCTTGGGAACAACGCGCAGCAGCTTCTTGTTGACGTGTTCATCTTCCATGACTCCACCCATGTCGCGAATGTCTGCGACGACAGCAGTGAGCCGCATCGCAAACTCCTCCGGCGTCTCCCTCTCCTTGAATCGCATCGACTCAAATTGACGACGGAAGCCCTGCTCCTTCGCCTCACGCACACGGTCGACGCCGACCCGCATGGTCTTGATGGCGTCCCACGCCGCCTTCGCCGTGTCATGCTTTGCCAGCCCGCGCAACATCTCACGCGGCACCGCCTGAAGGATTGCCGAGAGAGCCGCCCGATCTTCACGAAACTCCGCGTAGCCGGGATCGATCGCCGTCCACAGCCCCTGTGCCTGCAGGTTGACGCGCATCAGGAGCGCCCAATCCGGGTAGTTCGTCCTCGAGAGGACTGGGAGGCGAGCGGTGTGCGATGCGTCTCTCCCCTGAGACACGAGCGGAAGTAATGCGCCGTCTGCGCCATTCCCCCCGCCGCTGCCGCTTGCGCCACCGCGGCCGTTGCCGCTCCCCCCGCCGCCACCGCCACCACGACGGCCAGGCGGTGTGTATGACATCGCCGGATCGTTCCAGTACCGCTCTGATACCAATTGTCAGCAAAACACCCTGTACACACGCGAGATCGTAGCTATCCTAGCTTAACTGACGCTTGCAGGATGATGAACAGTGTACTGACGAACACAGAAACACAGCAAAGCAGAGTTTTGGCGCTGCTCAACAACCACCGCAGCTTTTTCTGATTCTTTCTATTCATACTCCTCATCTTGTGAGGTTGTTACATGCATAACAAACACCAGCTTTGCCGGATCTAACTACCGAACGCGCCATCCCACGCTCCAGACCCAGCTCGGCCACTACAACCGAAAAAAACTGCAACTACTTGACCAACTCTGAACAAACTCAGGCCAGCCACAATACAAATGGAATCCAACGCCTATATGCTATTATAATGCAAAGAATTGACTAAAACATGCATGCTAACGACAACTTTATTCTTGGCACTCAAGATTATCTATCAGTAGGCGCTGTTTTCAGAAGCTGGGACAGAGAAGAGAACCTCAACTTGTGGAGAGGAACACTAAGTGCGTCACCATGGCTGGCCTTCAATTGTTCAAGCCCTTTAGGCTGGCTGTAGCTGTGGCTGACGACCAACGCAGTCCACGAGTAGATTCTCTGTGCTTTTGACTATGCAGGGATGCACATTATTCTCTTGTGTCTTAGAGGTGCTTTGACCAGGTGCTTAGCTGAAGTTTGGTATAAGCTTAGCTTTGTATTATTTTACACTTGCAGGTTAGATACCTTTCACCTTTTTTACAAATTCAGTAAAGTGAAAGTAACTATGAGAACTAAGACAAACAGAAAAGGCATACAGACCGCTATAGACTGGCCGACTGGGATGTTCTGAATTTCTGACAGGCCATATATTGTCTGCATTTCTGATAACTGAATTCTGAGTCTTCAACACTAAATTTATATGACCATATATCTCCTGACTCCATTCTTATACTACTAACTCAACTACGTTAGTGTCTGCTTGATTTGGTATCATATTTTGCCCTACCAAAACTTTCGCAAAATCTAATTCGAGAGCACTCTCGATTTAGTCATAACTAGCGACGCCTATCCAGAATCCAGATATGTGTTAGCTGGAATAATCTTACTTTACTATAGTACTAATCCATTAAGTAAGTAGGAGAAATATTCCTATCATCTATGCTTCAAATAAAATTTTCTCTCAAATTACTCATCCGATTTACAATTCGATTACACCGTTGTGTTCGTAATAATTAAATCTTTACGACAAGATCTCACATGATTATATTTTGATGAAAAATCACAAATTACTTTTATGATATGTCTAAATTACTTTTAGATTTCACTGAGTTACTTCATAGACATATAAAAGTAAATTTAGTAAAGCCTAAAAGTAATTTACATATATTATAGAAGTAACTTATAACAAAAAGAAAGTAACTTTAATTAATGTCTTTTTTCATTGAACAAATTATCATATATATAAATTACTTTTATATTTGATTAAAATACCTCCTATACATTCATAATGCTCTGAGGGGATTACTTTTATTATTGTTTTTAGTTAATTCCATAATTTGTGCTGATTAATTTAATTTCTAGATAGAGTCATGTTTTTATCTCTACAACGGATTTACTTCAAATGACATGCCAAAGTTACTTTCGTTTTGTTATAAGTTACTTCTATAATATATGTAAATTACTTTTTGACTTTACTGAATTTACTTTTATATATCTAAGAAGTAACTTAGTGAAATCTAAAAGTAATTTAGACATAATATAAAAGTAATTTATGATTTTTTATCAAAATATAATGATGTGAGATCTTGTTGTAAAGATTTAATTGTTACGAACACAACGATGTAATCGGATCGTAGATCGGATGAGTAGTTTAAGAGAAAATTGTATTTGAAGTATATGTGAATGGTGTCTCTTATAGATAGAGTGGTAGCTGGTTTAGACAAACCAGCTACCACTAGCTGTGTAGTTACGTCCCAAAACTTTGGTAGTACCAAAATTTTAACGAGTTTTGGCACTACCAGATTTGATAGTATAGAATTTAAACTAGCGTGGGTAAAAGTTAGTACCAAATCAAACATTACTTTATACTAATGAAGTTGCCAACATTCTGGTATGGTAAAAATTGATCTCAATCCAACCCGCAAAGCAGATATGCAGAGAGCCAGAAACATCGTGGAATTGTGGGCTGTTGGGCTAGCAGAATATGCAGGCCGTCACCAATCAACAAGCCCAGCATTGCTTTTTATCCATGGGCCTTCAGTTGCAAAACGGCCCAGTTTCTCATGGACCACGCGCCGCCGCTAATCCAGCCCTACTATTAATTCAGCCACATCTCCTCGCCTCCGGCTCTCTCTCTCTCTCTCTCTCTCTCTCTCCCGTGTCCGCAACCGCAAATCCCCATTTGGTCTCACCTAAAACCCTAGCTCGCTCACCCATGGCTCCGAAGAAGCGAAAGGCGGATCCGGCGGAGTCCCCGGTAGCCTCGTCGGAGGCCGGCGCCGGCACCAACCACCACCAGGAGACGCCCTCCTCGGAGCTCAAGCCCCGGGGGACCATCTACTTCCCCATCACCGACGACCCCCCGGAGCCGAGCGCAGAGGGCGGCGCCGAGGGGGAGGACGGCGCCGGAGGGGACGACGATGAGGAGGACATCGCGAAGCTGCTCGAGCCCCTGTCGCGGGAGCAGCTGGTGGCGCTGCTCCGCACGGCCGCGGAGACTACCCCCGCGACGATGGCGGCCGTGCGGCGCGCGGCGGAGGCCGACCCCGCGAGCAGGAAGCTCTTCGTCCACGGCCTCGGCTGGGGCGCCGGAGCCGACGACCTCCGCTCCGCGTTCTCCCGCTTCGGCGAGCTCGAGGACTGCCGTGTCATCTCCGACAAGCAATCTGGCAGATCTAAGGGCTACGGCTTCGTCCTCTTCCGCTCCCGCCGCTCCGCGCTCCGCGCCCTCCGCCGCCCCCAGCTCCAAATCGGCGGCCGCCTTGCTTTCTGCCATCTCGCTGCCTCGGGTCCTGCCCCTCCGACCTCCCAGTCCCAGAACCCTAGCTCCAACACCAACGCCAACTCCGGTGCGGCCAATAACGCTGGTTCTGCGTCGTCTTCACAACCTGACAACATGCAACGCAAAATCTTTGTTGGTAACGTGCATGCTGATGTCGATGTTGACCGCCTGTATGAGTACTTCTCGCAATTTGGTGAGATTGAGGAGGGGCCATTGGGATTTGACAAGACCACTGGCAAGCCTAAGGGGTTTGCGCTGTTCGTCTACAAGTCAGTGGAGAGCGCCCGCCGTGCGCTGGAGGAGCCAACAAGGAACTTTGATGGCAAAATGCTCAATGTGCAGAAGGCTATAGATGGCAGGACCAAGAACACACCTGGGATGAATGCAAATTCTAACCCTAGTGGTACCGCTGCCTCGGCAGCAGCTGCTGCTGCAGCTGCACAGATGACTGCTCCTGCTACTGCTGCAATTACACCGTATGATGCATCAGCTTATGGTGCTACTGCCGTTCCTGACTTGGGTTATGCGCAGCAAGCGGCTATGTTGGGATTGGGTGCACAGCAGCAGGCGTTTGCACAACCCAATGCTGCAATGCTTGCCATGATGGCAGCAGCTATGCAAAACCCAGCTATGCTCGCAACGCTGAACCCTGCTTTTGCTGCTGCTGCATTGGGTGCTGGGGGCCAGCAGGTGCACGCGGCTGGTATTCCAGGTTTTGGAGCTCAGGGTTTTGGGACACAGGGCTTTGCAGCAGGTGCCGCCGCTTTTCCAAATGCAGCGGGTGTTCAAGCTCCTCCTGGTTTTCAGGGTCCGCCTGGGTTCCAGACTTCTGCTGGGTTTCAGGTTGGCCAAGCAGCTTCACAAGCGGGTACTGCTGCGGCTGCTGCCGCCGGTGCTGCTGGTTATCAGGCTGCTGCTGCTGGGCAGGGCCAAGTGCCCGGAACGCAAATTGGGGGTGCTGGTTTTCAGGGTGGATTTTGAAATCACTAGGTATAACAATTCACATCCTGCTTAATCGCTTCAAGTCCTCATTTACCACTAATGATTTGAGTTAGCTTATCCTCCAAATATTATTCGCAACTTGGTGATTTGGGCTAAAAATTTCTGATTGTTTCTCTATATCTTAGTTTGGCATCTGCTGGTCGTGATTCGTTCGTGTGGTTTTGCATTCGGATGGATTTTGAATCTATGTTGGTGCCAAAGTATTGCGAAAGGGTTCCTGCTGTTGGCTTTTACAATCAGATGGCTTTTGAATCAGGCAACTTTGTGGCAGTATTTACAGAAGGCGCTTTCTTGAAGAATTTATGTTGTTTTTATTGCCTACTATGTAGCTTTGTCCTTGCAACTTCATCATGTACGTTATGGTTTCTGTAATGGGGTTTAATGTACTGAAATATCTGTATTTTGACTTGTTGGGATGTTATCCGGTCTTATTGATTATGTCAAATGGTTTCTGGGCACTTGAAGGCTTTTTCTTTTTTGCAGTTGCAGTGGGATTTGGAAGAATGTGATATTCATAGCTTTTGCGTTCACCTTGGAAATTTCTGGTTTGAGGCTGAGTTCAGCTGCTATGACCTTAAGACCTTGATTGCCATTGAGCTTTATTTCTAAATCTGCATAGTGATCTCCTGTAGCCAACTAGCCATGGGAAATAGGTGAAAGTTCACTTTGCGTTTATAATCTCTTGAAAGAGTATAAATTAATGGATAATGCCTCATCAGCAAACACTGCATCTCCATTGGAGATTTTGGAATGTGCTTTTGTTTTTCTGATAAAGTAAGTATCTAGAACATTTCTATAGGATTCAAGCATAGTAATGGTACTGGCGCCCTGTGGACACTGCATAGGCTTGACTCTTTCTAGTGCGATGTGCTGATTGAAAAGTGCATACTAGGGTGTAGGTAATGTTCATCCTGTCATAAACTCATGCGGACTTTTTAGCTTGTGCTTGCTGTCAGAATGTGGTCCCTCTAAATATGAGCTGTTTTAGCAGAAGGTTATGGTCTGCTGACAGTGATCTTTGCTTTGTGCTGAGGAAGGATAGCATTCAAAACATTCATACAGCCCATAACCATATGTGTTCTATTTCTTATATGCACCATAAGCGCAATCATTAAGTACGGCAGTTGAAACCTTTGCTTTAGAGTTCTTATCCTATTGTCTATAGAGTCGCAACAACTATGCCCATCCATCAGATGTAGATCTGATTTTCAAAGTTGCCCCCCTTTCCAAATTTGTCACAAAACCATCTAGTTTCAAGGCTTACAACAGTAGATCAAGCACACCAAATGGCTTTACATTGCTAAATGTCGTGAAGTTATTGTCACTAGCTAGAATTTGCGCATGATGAAGTTACAGAGACTATTGAGGTCTCCGTAAGTTTGCTACATATCATTTCCCTGTTATTTTCCATGTCATGGAAGAAATCTCCATCTAATTGATCAACTTTCACGTTTTGTCTGGTACAACTAAATTTTTGTTGTGAGAACTCGATTAGTCAATTATAGGCATCATTCTTGTTACAAATGAACATAATCTTTCATATGTGGTGGTAAAAATCTTTACAATATAATCATTACTGCTGAATTGTTGTTTATATTGTTGGATTTCCTTAGTATCATCTTTCTTGAAATGGATTTTTTTTTGTTTCTTCTAGTTGTGTATACTGGCAGCAGAGACGACCAGTTATTATTTGATGATGATTACATACTTCATGTATCCAATGGGTATATTGCTTTATATCTGGCAGTCACTATGATTATTACAGTCTTGTGTCTATTTGCCATCATGTTCTATCTCCAGTTCTCTTTACCATATCACTGCGTTTGCATTCTTATCTTTGAACGTGATGTCTTGCTAATTTGAGTTCTTAAGCGAACTTTTCATATTTTCCATGGGACCATTTCAGTATAAAGACTGCATTGTGGAATCTGGAAACTGTTATTTCATAGGGGTCCGTGATTATGAAACTTTTTCTTGGATGCAATTTAGCAGTTCTTTAACCTTTTTCCACACAATTCTCACACTTGTAATATTAGTGGATTTGGGTATAGTAGCTATGTGGGAGGTTTGGATTCTTTATCAATTCGTTTGCGCTGCAAAAATGGCTAGTGAACTTAATCACCTTTTGGGGCCAGACGAGTTTCTACACCGTCTGATTTTGTCTCTATATGTTTGGTTTTTAAGCTGCTGTTCTGCTTATTGAAGCACCTTTTCACTAAGAGACTCCAATTGGACGAGGGCACCTTTTCTAGAGCGTTCATGCGAATTATTTTTTGTGGTGATCATGGGGAATTTGTTTGTCACTTACCATGCACAGCATATTAATGCTCTGAAAGCTGCTGTAACTCGGGTGATGACAGGCGAAGGAGCTGTATATGCCGTAACATATTAAACATGCAGTGGTATGGGCTCGATGCGCCCTCTATTGAAGGACCAGACAAAACTAGAGAGGTAGGGACTCTCTTAAGCATAAAATGTTCCGGACTTGAACGTTTATCAACTGCTGCTGAAAGTTCTTAGCCTGGTAGAACAAAGAATCCTATTCTCAGTTGCTCCACTAATTTGCCCTCCTTTTTGTCCAAGCATCCAGCATGCAAGTAGCCTCATACTCTCTGATTGAAGAAATGCAAGTAGTCTCATACTCTCTGATTGAAGCTTTCTTCTTGATGCTAATCTGCACTTTTATTTTCTTTCTTGCTGTTCACCTTATGTCACCAGTGAACCTTGTTTCCTCCCCTTTGTCAATTATATCCAACCCTCCTCTTATTTGTTTTCTTTTCAAGTTCCATTGGTGAGCGATGCGTATATTTTGGTGGTTTCCTCGGCTAACTGCAATCGTCTAACTCTGAAGTCTGAACGAGCGGAGCGGGCGAAGATGAGACTTCAGTTTTGTCACAGCTTGAGATTTGATACTGGAACTGGTGGTGCTCCTGAGAAAACAGGTGGGTGCCCACAATGACGTTACATAGATTTTTCAGATTATTTTTCTTTTGCAAGTACTCTTTACTCTGCTTTTCCTCGGTGAAAGCTTAACGGTCCTGTGTCTCAGCTGCTACTGTAGAGATACTGTAGAGAGTATGTTTCATCTCAGGAGAAAAGGCTGCTAGTATTCAATGTTTTTCGCATTGAATTTTCCCTCGAGTATGTACGTGTCCTGGGCAAACGTAGTACGTGTCGTGGGCAAACGTAGTACTTATGTGTAGAGGGATTATGCTGACAGGCGCAGGAGATTTGCTTTGCTTTGGATGTGTCCAGTGAAGGGTAGTCAACTGATTCAGTAGCAGGTTTTGTAAAACTAAGCGGTTAACACGTCCTTAAGGTAACCGTACAGTTTTCACGGTAACCGTGATCATTTTCATCCAAAACAGTTTGCTGTACCCTGTTGATGGATTCATAAATTTCTATTTGATATTAGTCCTTTTTTTTCCCTCACTCACCAGATCTCCTTTTTTAATATTACAAACAGATATTGAGGATGGAGTAGATATTATTTGGGGGGAATTTTGTAGTAGGCGAGACTGGCGAGTACACCAGCACCTCCGAAGTCTCAGTCTCCATTTAATCCTGGGAAGCATGCGAAGGCACTAGTAGTAAATGTACGCATTTGCCCTCCACGGCTCCACGCCTCCACCCATCACTAGCCTCACCGATCACCACACCGCGGCGCGGCCCGGTCTATCCTGCGCCCACCACCTGCCCTGCCCGTCCTGCCCGCGCTGCCCGCCTCTCTATCCTCCTCTCTCTCTCTCTAGAGTGTGAAAAGTCTTCTCCTTTCTCTGCTCCCCCCTTCCTCCTCTGCACCTCACCTCTCCTCTCATGGAGTTCGCCTAGTTGTGTGCTCTGCTCCTCCTTGAAGAAGCCTTCAGATCTGTGGTTCCTAGCCTTTCTCAGCTTCCTCAACACAGGTACCCCCTTCTCGTCCCCCTCTCTCCCTCTCTTGAAACCTCCTTACTCCTGCACATCTGGGAGGATTACCTCCTTGTTCTTTGTTCTTGCCGGTAAGCACAATCAGTTAATCATGCCCGTTGTCTCTCTTAACACACTTTACCATACGTATGTCGTGTTCAGAGTTCATATGCCTGAAAAACTCTGAAAACTTTTCTTCTCTTGTGAGAACTGGGATAACTCTCTTCTTCTCGTTCTGTTTTTTTTTTATCCTGCTGTTACCTGACAGAGTGACAGGTAGCTGTTCGTTTGTCTCGTCAGTATGCCTTGAGTTCCGACCTTTCTGTTATCTCTGACAGTTGTAGTTGTTCGTCCCTAGAGTGGATCTTTGCTAAAATTAGTTTCACGAAATATCGGAGGCGAGCGCTTTTTTTGCTTGACCTTGGGAAGGAAAAAAAGGAAAAGAAAAAAAAAACTGTTCTGACGAAGGTTTTAAGGTTTCCTTGCTGCTGCTGCTTCCAACGGTAATAAACCCAAACTGACGGTCTCCCTTTCTCGTGCCTGTCCACGTGTTCACCTTTGCAGCCGTCCAGATGGCGTCCCTGACACCCGAAGCTGAAGCTCCCGGAGGAGGAGCCCTGCTCGCCGCCGGCGACGACGTCACCGCCGCGAATCTGCTCGCCGCCGCCGTAGCCACCGAGGTGAGTAAATCTGTCCAGCTCAAAGCCCACAGCTCCGTACTGATGATCTCTTCCTTGTCGTTTTACTACTCATTTGTGATTAGTTTTTTTTCCTTTGTCATTCTGTGTTTGTTTACTATAGGCAAAAAGAAAAAAAAAGTACTAGTACTAGCTCGACGCTGCTCTGCACCGTTGAGCGAGATTTTTTTATTTTTTTTGGGTGAGATATTGTCTCTTGGTTTTGAAGGACTTGCCGGGTGCGGATTCGTGGGGTGGGTTTTAGGGTGCGGTTTTCAGCTCGGGATTTGAGTTCCGTGGAGGTGGGCCCGGGGGGGGGCATAGTGTAAAAAAGCGCCCCTTTGTTTCTTGCTTACCATTCCAGCCCGAATATTCGCTTCTTCTCAAGGACATAGAGCGAATATTCCCCTCTTTAGATATTTCTTTGTAAAAAAAAATCTGGTGAACAAAAGTAAGTGTGATTTGAGTTGCTTAACTTGTACTCACTCCGGACCCATCCTGTCATAGGTTTTAATATATTGTGTCCTAGTTTTAATATATTGGGACGGAGAGAGTAAGCAGCATGATTAGTAGGTGATTTGGTTAGTCTAGCGATGTATGGTACGCATCTAGTTTTTTTTTTCACATAACTTTTTTTTAAGCTTGGGAAAGACTTGAGCGCGAAGGGTGTCGTCTCACCTGCTTGCGTCGGTGTATATGGCTGTACTTTTTTTTTCTCCAAGTGTGTCGTTTTAGCTGTATATGCCTGTACTATTGTACTAGTATCTTGGTTAGGTCGCTTTACATATCACTGTCCAAGTAGTTGGCCTTCTATCTTGTATATACGTATAAAGGCCATATAAATAGAGGACTAAACTGCAAATACGGCTAGTTGGTTGGGGTGGGACGACCTGGGACAAAACTCTCTGAGTCAAGGCCGACTTGCTAACCTGAAAAAAATTGTGTCCCAATCGATGACATGTGGTCCTTTCACTCTTCTTGCTTCTGCCCCCAAGGGCATGGTGGTAGACACACTGTTGAACTACAATGGAAGGGGCAGCAATACAACTGTTGAGCTACATGAAAAGTGGGGCCTTCGTTGCTGAGAGCCGGTTATCTGCTGTCTGTGTTTCTCCAGCCATGTTGGATGATACTGTATCACTAGGAGTACATGGTTTTCCTTGACTGCGCCAAGGCAGCTCTGAGTGTGTAGTAATAAGAACAGCACAAGGCTAGAGTAACACGGTCTGAAGCAGGGTAGTTCTTTTATCCTTGAATTACTGGATAGGTACATCAGGAGCTGTCACATTTGATCTTTCTAGTTTTCGGAATCAGATCCTAGAGAAACCTGGTAAGAATTGAACTAATAAGCGTGTGATGTAGTATGTAGAATATCTGCTGAGTAGATGTAGAAATCTGGTATATTTGGGACTTTGGGTATTTGAAGGTGTGTGATTGCCCAACAGTTGATCATGGAAAAGAAAAGGGCTCCATTTTATCCTAGGATTATACCTTTTTCAGCTTTTTGGCTTTGTCCTGGATGTTGTGACCAGTTCACCACCACTAATTTATGTTTGCTTGATCCATTGTACAGGGTCCTGTATTTGATATGCCTGACTTCAAGATGGGTGGGAAGAAGAGTGATGATGCTGCTCCCACTGATGCCGGGGATGAAGATGGTGGTGATGATGACGGGGACGAGGATGGTGACTTTGGGGAAGGCGAAGAGGACGTTTCAGAAGGTGAGGGATATGATAATCCAAAAGGCATCGATAACAACAAGAAAAGAGGTGAGCCTGAGGAAAATGGTGAGGAGGATGAGGAAGAGCCTGAAGGCCAGGAGGGTGGTGGAGGTGATGACGACGATGACGATGATGATGACAATGAGGATGACGACGACGATGATGATGGTGGTGAAGATGATGATGGAGTAGATGAGGAAGAGGAAGATCAGGACAATGAGGATGATGAGGAAGATGATGATGAAGACTCACTTCAGCCCCCAAAGAAGAGGAAGAAGTGAATATCTTCATGCGGCTATAGTTACCAACTTACCATGCGCTGAGCTGTGCTTGGTTTTCGTCATGTTCTCGGAATCGAACTTGCATTAGGGAGTTAAGAAAAAAGGGCTCCACACGTTCAGTAAGTGTGGATTTGTAGGAGCTTTATGATTTCAAGCAATTAGACAGAACTCTGTTGTCATTGTTGCTTGCTTCTGTGGAGTTGAACAGATGTTTCGCTAACATAATTCGACCTGAATGGTGAAAGCCTGAAGATTGAATATGTCACAAGTTATTTTTACTTCTTTCATGCAACTCAAAATAAAAAAGTTAGTGAGAAAAGAGTGACGTTAAAATTAGGAATAACAGCAACACGGCCCGTAGCCATTTGTGCCCTGAGTGCCTGAATGTGAGTAACTGAGTATGTGACCGGGTTCTTCAGATCTACTTCTAGCGATGTGATAATGTCATCCGGATAATTTCAGAAATATGTTTCGTTTAGATGGAAATTTTAGGAGTATTAATAGCATGATGAATATGTATTCGGGCGGTCAGACCTTCAACACAGAGTTTGAGTCCAATTTAATTATTTCTCGTGCTTCCTTATTTTAGACTGGGATTTCTCGAGTACTAATTAATTTCTAAGTCTAATTGGACATGGAAAGATCCTAGGAAGCAAGTCCATCCCTACTATGAATACAAGGGGGCTAAACCCGATTGAAACAAAAACTAAACAATTGCCAAATTCAATTAAGTATCAAACCCTCTATATTCTACGTCTCCCTCTTTCTTGCTACCTATTTTAAGTCTATTTTTCTCAAATCTCCAATTGCTTATCATGTCTCATCTCTACAGCATTAGAGGACGTCCTAATTGGCTTGATGAGCCTACGACAAACCGGTATGTGTTTACTCTAACAGGGTCCCACTTGGGTGCTCGTTAAGCGGCATCTATCACTCCCTATGACGCGTGCGTCTCCAGGTTCAAGGTGTTCAAGGTGTGGCTGCACATTTCTACGTCAACCCTTCCATCTTCATTAAGTTCTTTTACGAAGTTATCATTTGGCTTGTACTTATGATATTCATACCGCTTATTAGTAACCAAATACTCCCTCCATTTCAAAATGTTTGACACCGTTGACTTTTTAGCATATGTTTGACCGTTCGTCTTATTCAAAAAAATTTGTGTATGTAAAACTATATGTGTATATGAAAGTTTATTTAACGATGAATCAAATGATATGAAAAGAATAAATAATTACTTAAATTTTTTGAATAAAACGAATGGTCACATACATACTAAAAAGTCAACGGCGTCAAACATTTTGAAACGGAGGGAGTAATAATTTATCGGTATAACTTTTATATATGTATCTTAGCGATTTAAAAGCAAATGCTATAAAAATAAGGCATGATTAAAAATCACAAAATTGACTAACAAAAAAGTTTTTAAAATTAAATTCCGGCTTATAAGCGTAAGTATAAACGGAAAGATGGGGTTGTCACTCTCTACTAAAAGTCTAAAACCTTGGCTCGATTGTGGTGAGATATAATTGTTCAGAATGCAAGTCTATCTACTGTTACATTCATGTAAAAAACTTAACATACGAATTACCTTTTGTTTCAGGCGGAGAGGTGTATTTATATGTTTTTTTGTAGCGGTTAGATAACTCCAATTAGAAAGACATTTATTTATATCCGTTATGTAATGAAATACTCCACGTAGGTTGTTACGCCACGAGTAGCGACAAATTTCTCCAACACTACTGGGCAATGCTTAATGGAAGACGACTCTAACACTTTTCTATATATAACAAAAACAACATATTTCTTATCCACTATCCTTTCCTACGTGGTGTTCGTTTAGTGACGTGTACGTTTACTATTGGAGGAATAGTACGATTTTGAAATGGAATATTACTAGATTCCTACATCATATTAGATTCTTTTCGAGGCCACTTTGTTACCATCTCTCTAGTACTAACATATAACGTGAAAGTATATACCATATTTCTCAATCGAGTTCTCTAATACACGATTTTAAGGGTTTTCTGGGGCTAATCTTTTTTTTTTCTCTTAACTCTTCGATTTTTTTACGTCCAAATGAGTAATAATAAATGACGTGTAATAACACTTTTTTTCCTCTAAAAAGGCAAAATAAAAAAAAGAAAAGAAAAAGAAATAGCGACGAAAACACAACACAAACGAAACGCTCTCGAGCCAGAGTCACCCCCTCTTCTTTCTTACCTCCCCCAAACCCTAGCCATCCCGATCCATCCACTCCTCGAGATTTCGGCGGAATGCCTCCGCCGCCGCCGCGGTCTCCTCGCTCCCTTTCCAGCTAGGGCTCTCCCTGCCCACACCCTCCCCCGCCCGCGAGATTTGCGCGCCCCCGCCCAGCGCCGATTCGAGCTGCTCCTGCTTTGCTGTTTCGGTGGGGGAGGCCATGAACAACAGCGCGTTCAGCGAGGAGATACTCGCCGAGAAGCTCGCCAAGCTCAACAACACGCAGCAATGCATCGAGAGTATCCTTTACCCACCCAGCTTTCCTCGTGCTAAATCTTCGCGAGAATTTGGGTGTTTCTTTAGGGGTGTGTGTCGATGTTTCGTGTAAAGTTGCAATTTTTTTTTACACTTCATATCTTGCGCCCTTTCACGATTACTGTTGGGAATCAAGTCTCCCTTCTTCATTTTTCCCTCCTGAGACTGTGTATCATACTTGTATCATACTATCGTGTTATGTTTGTCAATAGCTAGCAACTTCCTTCAACTTTAAGTGGATATATCTACGAGTTGCAGATGTGCGGGTAGCACGCAAGAAAGCATCTTGTAGCTTGAACAAGTGCGGGTTCTTGTGTGTCCTTTTTACACCATTGGTAGAGAGGGTTCTTGTGTTGTTAGTAGCTCTCTGATTGCTATACTGTTTATTAGTAAACCTACCGAAAATAGGTACATGTTGACTTAGAATCCTGTGACATATTTAGGTGGCGCAAATCCATGGTTTTGTTTGTCTGAACATGTCTTTCCATGATCTAATTTGTTCCCTTGACTTTAATTCTTCGCGACTACTAGCTCTTTCGCATTGGTGCATATACCATCGGAAGAATGCAGAGCAAATTGTCCAGACATGGGCGAAGCAGTTTCACAGCTCTGGAAATGAACAGAAGACCCCTTTTCTCTATCTTGCTAATGATATCTTACAGAACAGTAAGCGCAACGGTACAGAGTTTGTAGAAGAATTCTGGAAGGTTCTCCCTGGTGCGTTGAAAGATGTAACTGAAAACGGTGATGAGCGCGGGAAGAAGGTGGTCAGTAGGCTGGTGAGTATAATTTGTCTACTGATAGGAATTTATTATATCTAGTTGGAGATATTGGTGATAAGAGCTATTTGATGATTACTGCTGTATATTTAATATATTCTTTTATAAAATCCTCCAATATCTAATACGAATAACCGTGAAAACTGCAATCATTTAATACTGCAGTAATATGTGCTGTAGGTTGAAATATGGCAAGAAAGGAGAGTTTTTGGTTCACGTGCGGGGGGCATCAAGGATGTGATGCTTGGAACTGTTCCCCTGCCTGTATTAGATATGACCAAAAAACGGTCTCACGGTTCCTCAATAAAGATCGTCAAAAGAGACTCTCGTTCTGTAAAACTTGTAAGCTTTTTTTTTCCTACCCCATCTGCTAAATTATGTTCTTCAGCATTGGAAAGTGTTATGAAAATTCTCTTAAACTCTTATCATTTTGTTTTCAGAGACTAGGTGTTGGGGGAACCGCTGAGAAGATTGTATCTGCACTGCACACTGTTCTCAGTGAACAAGCAGATGAAGACTCTGATCTGGAGAAATGCAAAACCTCAATGCGGCGTGTTGGAAAGATGCAGAAGGATGTTAGCAGTGCTTGTAGTAAAGGTGCTTTATATTATTTGTTATTGACATGAATCCTCCATCTTAGCTGTCTTAGTACATATTCTCAAGTTATTCCTTATCTGTAGGTGATGATCCTCGTCGTGAAACCCTTTGCACAGAACTAAAGGAAGAGGAGGATAGCATGACAGAATGCATTGAAAAGCTTAAAGTAGTTGAAGCAAATAGAGCAACTGTTGTGTCTGAACTGAAGGAGGCATTGCAGGAACAGGTCAGAAACAACTGTTGTGATTATTTATAGTAATGCATTTCCATTTTCCGTATGCAATTGAGTTGGTATTTGCAAAAGCTTACTTGTAATGTTATTTCAGGAATCTGAGCTGGAGAAAGTCCGTACTCAGTTACAGGTAATGTTGTCTAAACATCACAAATTTTATTAAAGACTGATGTTGTAGCATGTATTGATGTAAAATATATTATTCCTATGTTTTGATTAACAGCTGGCTGAAGCTATGGTAGAAGAAGCAGCCGACATGCAACGGAAACTCAAGAACGAGCCAGTCATTCCTTCGTCCAAGCACTTATCCTCAGTAGAACCAGGAAAGCCACTTTCTAATGGGCAGGCGAAGGATCAGCAGAAGACAGCTGCTGCTATCCTCGCAGACAAGATTGCAGCATCATCAAACTCTCAGCAGATACTGCAATCTGCACTTTCCAAGTTTGCTGCTGAGGAAGCCAAAAATTCATCCGAAACTCACCAGGATAAGAGGCTGAAAATTGAACATTCCTCACAGGTCCCAAGTGTCGCGAATGCTGCCGCTTTTGTTCCAATGCCACAAATGACCACCACAACAGCACAGCAGCCCCAGGCAATCTTAGTTCAGCAGACTCCTATGCAAAACCAGCCTCCTGCACCTCAACCCCAATACAATATCTACCAGGCCCCTCCCCATCAGTTTGTCCAGCAGCCTGGTGGTGTAATGATGGGCATGGCGTACAATATGAGCACCATGGCTCCACCACCGCCTCCACCGCCACAGATGATGAACCTAGCAAGGCCCTCACCTTCAACACCCCAGCCACCAATGGGTATAATGCCACAGACTCAGCCGCCACCGCCCGCACCAACGATGCTTCAGCAACAAATGCCGATGAACGTCGGACCACCAATGCAGTTCGCCCTTCAGCAGTCCGGCGCGCCGTCTTTCAGGCCTTTGCAGCCGCCCCCGGGGATGCAATTCTTCCACCCCCAATCTCAGTGACATTTTTGGTAGTCCAGCTCCTGTTAAAACTGTCGCGTTTTCGGTGTTAGTATTGACTGGTAGACAAAAGGTTCTGACTGTTGTAGGGTATACTGTTTGGTTGTTCTTTACCTGGAGATGTTGTACATGTAATGCGAGGAAACTAACAGGAAGATTCAGTTAAGTGTTGAGCCTTTGCTCAATCCTGCAGAGAAGGGCAGAAGACGTCACCTGTTTGTGAGCTCCAGATTGGTTGATGGGCTGACGAACTGGGCAAGTTCGCGTCAAAATCGGCCCGTTGTTTTCTTTTTCTTTCTGGGAAATGGGAATAACGCGGTCGAGATTCGAGATGATTGTAGTTTGTATATGCTGCCCATTTCTGTTGTTCTTTTTTTGTAAGCAGCAGGACAAGTTCTAGTAAAGAGGAAAAAAAAAACCCCAGAACTTTGGATTATGATGATTCGCGAAATACCTTTTCGATTCGAACTGGAAGTGGCCAATCTACAAATGCGAGTATCAGCCAAGGTGATGTTTGGTACACATTCATGTATCGACCGTATTTTCATGTCCTCCGTAGCTAATAATCTCTACCATCCTCACTATTCTTCTATTTACAAAAAAAAAAAACATAACTTTCACCAAATGAACTTCAAATTTTTGATTTGAAAAACATGGTAGTACATTTCATTTTTTTATAGAATATCAAACTGCTGCATCTTCCATCTTTCTGACATTTTTATGGGAAACATTTCGAGTGGCTTTTCTTGTAAAAGAATTGCGTAATAGGCGTGGACGCTCTGAATGGGATAGACACGTGACTGGGCCGTGCGGTGAATTTTACATTTTACCCCTCAGATTAGTTTACCTTAAGCACTCCGCTACCCCACCTCTCCGGAAGCTTTCATTCGCGAAGCCGCACAACACAACGCAACGCCGCGCTTCCGCCTCTCCACCCGCCGCCGCCTCCCTCGCCGGCTTGCCGCCGCCGCCGCGGTCGCGAGGCGGAGACCTTGCGGGACGATCGGAGCGACGTCCCTCTACACCCCTCCCCCTCCGCAGCGGCGAGAAGAACAAGGGGGCCGCCCGCCATGCTGCGCCGGTAAGGGCACACCCACACCCTGTAGATGTTTGTCCCATCCGAGTTAGGGTTTCCTGGCCTAATGCTCGTTCCTCCCCGCCTCTATTGCAGGTGCGTGCGGGATCTGTACCCGCTGCGGCCTCTTAGGAGGATCCCTAGGCCGATCTCCAGCGAGGTTAGCATTTCCGTTTCCGTTTGTTTGCGGTCGATCAAGTTGTTTGTTCTGTGAGGCGCTTGCTGTGTAGGCAAATCGGTAGTTTTCTGAGGGAGCTTTACTTGGGGCACTCTTGAATTGGCATGCTTACTCATTAAATTGATGGAATGTGTACTGATGCGCGAATAGATAGAAAATGCTGCTAATGTTTACAGTTGTATTAACATAGGACCTTAGTGTCTCTGTGTTTTGATATGGGCCTAGCAAATCAAGGACTATTTGGAGCATAATGCTGTTACATTGAACCAGTTTTCTGCTTGATTTGTCTAAGTTTTATGATGATATTGGGGACCTAAGGTAATAACCAGTATCTATTTGTATCTGCATAGCTGCTATGCTGAATTTTGTACCAGTTTTACACATTGTAGGTATTACGTATTTAATGTTGTGGAACATCACATGAACTAAGGAATTGTTGTGTGCGATTTTCTTTTATCTATATTAGATTGATCAATTGACTAGTGCAATCAAATGGCCCTCCTAGAGTATAGAAAGCTTGATTTATTTATTGATTAAAAAAAACTTCTGCTGTGATTCTGTGAAACTTTCTAGTTGATGCGAGACACAGTTCTGCAGTAGTTGTTCCGACTATAATAATGTTTGGAAGGCAGTTGTTTGGATTCAAAGAATTTAACTTGATGTGGTACCAAAAGATAAACAAAATCCACTTAGACTGCCCTTGCTTGAACTATGATATTTGTAACTTGATTTAATATTTTTCTTTATTTAGCTGTATATGCAGTTTGTTTACTTCTCTGTGTAAAATGCTGATTATCACATAAAGAAGCGAAAAACACAGAAAAGTCCATGGTGAATTCTTGTATCGGAAAAAAAATAACCATACTATCTTCTCATGATAATATGTAATGCTACTTATTCTGCTGGGAGCAGTATTGACGCAAGGACAACCTCAGGCTCAGTTGATGACCTGTCAAACTCTGTGCATCTCCATCTTTTTCTTGTGCTCACTCCATTTTGTACACACAAATGCAGTCATTTTTCATGTGCATTGAATGCACAATTCGATAGCAGATTACTAGATTTGGTAATGTGTTTGCAATCTGTTGCTTCTTGTCTATCCCATTCGTGATGCTTTTGCAATATGTTGTTTCTTTTCAATCCCATTCATAATGCTTTTGTGATATACTGTAATGTTTCTTGTTGAATGTTGATCCCATTAATGAGGTATAGAAAAAACACAAAAGTCTCTACGGAAAAGAGGCTACTTATGATTTCTTCTGTCTGTTACTGTCATAAACCACTTTCTTCTTACATAGTATTTTTTGGGGGCCTATAAATGACACACATACCTTTTTAACAGGTCCCAAGTCCAGCATTTCTTCGACCCAGAAGCAAGTCGACAAAAGCTTCCCAACAGAGTTCAACACAGAATACTGTCCCTGGCCCTCAAGGAGAACCTTCTCAGTCAGGAAGCAATGTTCCGAAAGTTCTGCTTGGAACTCTGATGGTCGGCGCTGCTGCTATGGCTGCTTATCAAGCTGGCTACATAGACGATCAATTTAAGGATATAATATTTCCCTCTACAATGAAGGAAAAAAATATCAGAAAGATATACGATGATCTGAAGGCTCCTTCTGAACAAAAAGTTGATGAGAAGCAAGTAGTATCAGATCCAAATGTTGACATTGTTCAGAACAGTAACAACGAGGCTCATCCTCAAAAGGACCTTCCAACTGAAGGGATGGGTCCACCAGAAATTCCAACCACTGATGAGCAGACTGTTTCCTCTGAAGAAAAGGAAAAAGAAACCCTTGCCCAGGGGACACCGCAAATTCCAGATGAACATGGAGCTGCTGCTAAACCACTGTCCCAAGATATTCCTGTTATTGACATAAATCCAAGTGTTGATGATAAGGCAACAGGAGAAGTTCTTCCTGAACAAACTGACAAGACAACCACTTCAGTTTCTCCGGTACAATCGAGCCTAGCAACAGCAGGTCCTTCCCATCATGTACACACAGATACAGATGGACCAAAGGTTTGAACTTCAGTGATCTTCTCTATTATTATTATTTTTGTGGGGAAAACTTATGTCTACTTGCTATATGCCCATCCTTACCATCATATTTATTTTGATTGGTCGACTGCAACATCTTCTATTTTTTAACTTTCCATTTTGGCAACTGCATGACTTTTGTGGGTTGAAGGATGATTAATAACTTCTTTTGCGTATAAGGATTCTATACTCTGGAGCGATGGTTTACAAATGAAACTACTTGTCTTATAATATATATTTTTTGAGCAATCAATGGAAGGCTGAGTCAGTCCACATGAGTTATGTTAAACTTAAAGTCAATATTGGATTACATCAAATGGAGGACAGATGGGGGACGGGGAGGAGGCGTTTGACTGCTAAGTTAACATGAATGAAGGACTTATACTGGAGTAGGACTGACTCAATTGGAATCTCCTTTTGGACTTGAGAGATCCTTTAGAATGTAAAATTTGAAATGAATTCCTATGGTGCTTCATTTAAAACAAATTTGTGTTGTTATGGACTACACAATATGCAGATCAAATGGCACAATCGGTTGGTGCCAATCTATGTTTTAGTTCTTATGATTACTCTTTAGCAACACCCCCACCAATATGTGCATTTAGCATCATCTTGCCAAAGTCTTATGCTTTCATATTATTTGATGATGCAGTTTCTGAATACTGAATAATGACACTGGCACAACAATCTCATCGAACTAATCGTTGTCTGCAGGATCCATCAAGCGCTGGTGCAGTTGAACATAAATCTCTGGCTGAGACATATTTACTACAAGAACCTGATAATTCTAAAGACATGGTACGCTCTCCTCTTTAGTCATTGTTGTGGTACTAATATCGATGAAATACTTTCTAATTACAAGGTTGATAGAAATAATTTAATGGTACCTTTTCAATGTTAATATATCTGATGTTTTCTGTTATCAGGGTGCTAAGGAAAGTAAACACGATGGTGTTATTAGTACGGGAACTTCTGATGATGGGAAAATTGTACTTGATATCATAGAGGCTATTCATGCTGCTGAAAGAAAGCAGGCAGATGCAGATGCTTACATGTATTCAGAAGAGAAAAGGAAGTTGAAGGTTTGCTTTCGATTTCATATTATGACTGCTTCGTTATTTACTGCATTGAGTTTCAACACTAGCATGCCTTTGTGATTTACAGTATTATGTTCCCTCTTTTCTTCTGTTGAACTGATGTTTTGTGGATTTGTAGCAGTTCCAAATTTGACAAATGACGTTTATAATTGATTCTTTTGATTTTATACTATTACATTTTATAATGGTCAGTACTCTGCTTATGTTTTCTCAGGAGAAATATGAAAAGGAGCTGAAGGACACCAGGGCTCGGGAGCTCATGTATGCTGAAAAGCAGCAATTCTGGCAAGGTCTGTGACATTTTATATTTTATTATCGCTAGTCTCTTTGATCATGTTTCCATAAACATTGTATTCTGCTGGATGCGAACAATGTTTCTCACCGAAAAAAGACCTGCTCAGCTATATAAATATACACAGCTTGACGCATACCTATATCTCAAGATTTAGGTCCTTTTTACTTTTCATCCTCTATCTTTAAGACTTTGACCATAGGTTTTTTAATAATAATATCATGAAAAAAATTACATAAATATTCAGATGCCATGTGGCTAATATACATATATGGAGTTTTAAAGTTCGAAGTGTTTGACTGCACGAATACCATGACAACCTACATTTGGAGAGGGAAGGAGGAGTTAAACCTTTTCATTTTTTCTGTGGATATGTAATTTAAATTTACACAAAAAGCAAAATTTTTTTGCTCTATATGCCTTCGCTTCACTTCACTAGACCTGTATATAATCTCTCTTTCCTATAGAATGCAGATCGTGTCTCTTGTTTATATTTTAATTTCAGATTGATTATTTTTTTGTGGTGGTTTTAATCTTCTTTTCTCCTTTTGTTTTGTTTTAGGAGCTGAAGAAAGAGAAATTGAAGTCAGCTGCTGTGATTAAGGAACTGCAAGAAAATGCTGAACAAAAGCTAAGGGATGAGCTGCAGCAGAAGGTCTGTCAGATTTGTTTTCTATCTGCTATAAACTCTCTGCCCTCTTTATGCTAATCATTACATAGTTGACATTGGTATGGCTAATGTAACAGGATGAGGAAACAAGTCAACAAGTTGAGAAGGTTCGCGAGTTAGCAAAGGCTGAGCTTGCTGCAGCTCTTGCAAAAGAGAGAGCATCCCAGATCGAACAGATTGCTGAAGCAAATCTCAATGTATGGACTTTTGCTATCTTTTATTTTATTGCAGGCAATGTTCTAATTGGCTATTAGATATTAATGCATGCTGTGACCCCATGTTTAAGCACTCACCTAGGTAGCAGCCTTGATAGCCTAAAATATTGGTGCAGATTTATATTTGCAGCTGGTGGGTTACCTTGGATGACTTGCTCTCCTTCTTTTGTGGGTGGTTAGGCCAGGAAAGACAGATGATTTAGTGTGCACATGTTTAGTGGTAATGATTAGAACACTGAGGGCAAAGGATAATGTTATATATTTCCTTTTGCAATTGAAACCACCATAATTCCCTCTTCATAGTAAATTAACTTACTTTTTTAGAAGTTCTTCCTCATGATCTCTGTGTTCATAGCGTGATAAACCTTATGGGTGTGTTCACATATTTTTTTTTTACTGTGTTCCTCTGTAAGCTATCTGGTTGTGCCTATTAGGTTGGCTTGCTTATAATTTGTGATGTTGCAATACACTAAAGCATAATACATTAAAAATTAGTGTCTTAGCATGTCTTAGCATGCTAAGATAAACCTTATGAATGTGTTCACATATTTTTTTTTTACTGTGTTCCTCTCTAAGCTGTCTGGTTGTGCCTATACTGATTAGGTTGGCTCGCTGATAATTTTTTATGTTGCAATACACTAAGGCATAATACATTAAAAAAATAGTATCTACTCCCTCCGTCCCAATATAAGTGCGCCTAGGTTTGGATGCCTGTCCATATTCGTTGTACTATGAAATGTCACATCCGGTCCTAGGTGCACTTAAATTGGGACGGAGGGAGTACATGATATCCTGAAAATTTTCTCATCAGATCGTACAATTAAATACGGATTTTGACATTCAAATATCTTCTTGAGGTTATATGGTTATATCTATCTCAAATTCTCATGATTATTCGTCCAGACAACATTAGGCTCTGACAGTATGCTGTATTTACTATCTATTTGTCTTGCAGCCATAACTCTACACTCTATATTGTGCTAACATATTGAACGTATGGAATTACTGTTTGTTCTATCGATATGAAAATCGCTCATCAAACTCCTCATATCATGCAACTCTACACTCTATATTGTGCTAACATATTGAACTAGAACCAATGATAGCACGCAAATTTCATCTATTGGGGTCCTATGCCTTATATGTTACACCTTTCAATTCTGCTTTTATTAGTCAGTTTTTCCCTAAATATTGACCATTAAGCATAATTTTATATTAATTGGTCTAGTTTCTCCTGGTGAAGCAATATGACATAGTGAACTCTCTTATCCTATCTCCTGATATGTCTTTCATTGCTAGAACAACAATTTGTGCAATACATGGAAGTTCAGATTGCTTGTATTTTTTTAATTTCGCTTTTTTTCTTTTTGCATATTTTTCAGATAGATGCTTTGTGCATGGCGTTTTATGCACGATCTGAAGAAACTCGGCAGAGTCATTCGGTTCATAAGCTTGCTCTGGTAAGATCCTCACTTTGATGCCATCCAAGTATTTCAAGCTTAGTTATCATCTCACTTTTTTCTTTCAGGCTTCCTAAGTTCATGTCAACTGAACGTGTAACTCTTCTTGCAGGGTACTCTTGCTTTGGAAGATGCTCTATCCACTGGATCACCAATCCGGACAGAGGTGGATCAATTGCGCAAATCTCTTGAAGGTATTGATAAGGACTCACTGTTAGAATTGGCTCTTTCATCAATTCCAGAAGATGTTCTCGAGTACGGATCAGATACCCCTATGGATTTGAAACAAAAGGTAAGTTCCTTGTGTTGCAATAAATGATTACAGCTCATAGCCTTATTACTTAGTGTGCCACACCGCTCGACATTATTAATTCATCATTGTGTGAGAATTCTAATGATGCCTCCACCTTCTTGCTTGTTTTGCTCCTAAATACCTGCTCCAAATATTAACTGTTGTTAATCATGAATGCTCGCTGAGAAAAACTGGCTTGGCTACCCAATAATTAGTCCAGAATAAATGATATATCATTATTTCTTGTTGCAGTTTAATTCCTTGAAGGAAACAGTCAGGCATTTCAGCCTTATACCAGCGGGTGGTGGTGGTATGCTGACTCATGCTGTTGCTCATGTGGCTTCATCCATTAAGGTGAAAATAAATTGACGTTGTTTTCTTACTGATCATCAATTAGCTTTTTTATATTGATGTGACTGAAATATTTTGTGTGCTGGTTCTGAATTTTCTGGTCAACTACCTATTAGTAGTGTCTATTCCAGGCATTGTATTTCCTTACCACTTTTGACTTGTAGTGGCCCTATTTGCCCTAGGGGATCTTTACCAGCTTTGATTTGAGCACTTTTTTTTAGATTTCCCTATTGCATTGTTGCCTGACACTGAACCGTCCATTGAATAGAATAAGTTTCTTCAGCTAGCTGGCTATCAAGCTTCCGTTTTCTTGTTCTTAATTTGTTTGGCAGTCAAGTGATCTCAAAAATTCCCTCTTGCATGATAAACACTAACAGTGGTCTGTCATATAACATCAAACTGGATTTCTAAATTTTGTGTAAATGGTTTTCAGATCAAAGAGGACCAATCTGGAGACGGAATTGAGTCTCTTCTAAACAGAGTGGAGAACTTGATTATACATGGAGACTTGAGTGCAGCAGCGGAGGCCTTGGAAAGAGGGTTACAAGGGAGTGAAGCAGCAGAAATAGCTAGCGAGTGGGTGAAGCAGGCAAGGAAACGTGCAATAGCAGAGCAGACGCTTACTCTCCTCCATTCTTATGCTTCTTCCATCACATTCTCGTGATTTTGTTCATCAATGTAGTATTCAACAAGATCTGCGAGTTACAGACTTACGTTACTCAGTCCAATCACAAATATCTTAAGACCATATTGCAAATACCTGAATATATAGGAGCCAGAGCCATTCCTGTCAGGCGGCTGCTGAACTTTCCTCCTTTTAACAGAGCTAATAATTTTTGGCATGTAGCTACAAGCTACTTGGCATTCTTGATGTTTTAGTCGCCAGTTGAGGCACAATTTGGATAGAATTGCCGATTTTGCTGCGGATGTAAATTTTCTTCTGTACAATGATGATGATTTTCGGGGGTCGAGTTTATGAAATCAGAAATCCTGATGCTGGCTAGTAGGAGTACATATTTACAGAGAAGTGAGCGAGCTTGGCTTTCGTTTTTTAGAGTGGAATGTTAGTGTTTCCGCTTCTGCTCATGGTTTTTGCTAAAAATTTCTCCTTAAGACAAACCTTCAAGATTGCACCTGTAATGCAAATGTTGCATGGCCGCATGGGTACCTAAAAAGAAAGTTATAGATAAAATAAACCTAGCTTAGTCATTACTCCCTCCGTTCCAAAAAAAAAGGCAAACCGTGGGTTTTCGTGCCAACGTTTGACTGTCCATAAAAAATTTTATAATTATTATTTTCATTGTTGTTAGATATAAAACATGATTAATACTTTATGCGTGACTTATTTTTTTAATTTTTTCAAATAGGACGGATAGTCAAACGTTGGACACGGAAATCAGGGTTTGTCTTTTTATTTTTGGGATGGAGGGAGTACTCATCTATTGCATACTGTTTGAACCTTAAGGCACTTGTATTGTATTCAATGCAGCACGTTCTCTAGACAAGCACCCTCACCAAATATTTGCATGATTGCATCTAAATTCTAAAGTAATAACTGAATTTTGACAATAGATATACTCCATGTACGTTCTAATAACTTCCTGTTCCAAAAGGGGGAAAAATCTATTCTAGAGTTCGAACAAATGATAATTTAACCAAACTAACAGTAACACAAACACACCGAACTGAAACGCACACGTAGACCTTAACACTCCAAGGACATCGACTTCCGCCTCTCGTCGCCGGAGCTCGTCGGCGGCGGCGGCGGCTGCTGCTGCTGCCGCCTCGCCGCCGACCTCCCGCCGAGCCCGAGCTTCCGGAACAGCCTACTCAGCGCGCCCTTGGGCTTCCCGATCCGGTGGATCTCCTCCCTCATGCTCGAGCACTCCTCCTCGAGCTCCACCACCCGCTGCCTGATGTCGTCCACGCTCATCGTCGCCGACGACGACGACCGCACGTTGTTCCGGGCCTCGTCGTCGTCGTCGTCGCCATCCTCCTCCTCCGGCGGCCCCGCCCCGAAGTCCAGCTCGCCGCTCCTCTCCGGCGCGTACCGGCCGGCGGCGATGGGGGAGCCCTGGTCGACGTTGTCGGCGACGAAGAACCACCCGGCCACCGTGGTGCGCAGCCGGAGCTGCTCGAAGAAGAGCACCTGCACCACCACCCGCAGCGGCAGCCGCTCGTTCTGCGCCGCGTGCGTGCACGCCTCCAGCGACAGCTTCTGGCAGTTCATCAGCCTGCACAGCTGCTCCCTCTCCGACGCCGTCAGCCACGAGTGCGCCTGCGTCCACAGCCAGAGCATCACCACGTTGCTGCTCTAATGCAGTTCGAGACATGAAAGTTATATAAAAAATATTCATAAAATTTGATAATATAGATTAGGGTTAATATGGGACACTACACAAACATGGAAGTTTAAATTCAATCTATACAAGAGGAAAAAAAACAAATTATATCTGTTGTACATGTATTATTAATTGTTAGAATTTTTTTTTCTAATTGTACATCAAATTTAGGCTGTGTTTAGATCAGTGGTGTAAAGTTTCGGCGTGTCACATCGAATATACGAACACACATTTGAAGTATTTAACGTAGACTAATAACAAAACAAATTACAGAATCCGTCTGTAAACTGCGAGACGAATTTATTAAGCCTAATTAATCCGTCATTAGCAAATGTTTACTGTAGCACCACATTGTCAGATCATGGAGCAATTAGGCTTAAAAGATTCGTCTCGCAATTTACACGTCATCTGTATAATTAGTTATTTTTTTCATTTATATTTAATACTCCATATATGTGTTCAAACATTCGATGTGATAGGGGGAACTGTAACATCCCGGCCTAGGGCTTAATAAGATTAATAGAATACTCATATCAATAAGTTGCAACTTCTTTTCCGGAAGCCAATTTCCAAAGAACGACGAATGAGCACAAAGTGTGCAGATGTGTTGGTCTGTGAGGGCACCTATCTGGCCCGGCCTGGGAGAGGCTATGAAAGCTGCCAGATGTAAGTGGGCCCGACCTGGGAGAGGCGGGTCGTTACAGGAACAAATTAATTTTTTACCATGAGATCTAAATATGGCCTTATTCTCACATGTTTTTTTATAGACTTATGTTATCTCAATTAATTTGACTAATTTTTTTAATATTTTTTCCATAGAAAAATGTCCAGTTCAAGACTCTGTCTCTCCGAGCGTTTGCTTACCTTGAGGTAGATGTCAATGGCGCGGTAGATGCCGTCGTCGATGGCCCTTGCGTAGTCCGGGACGAGCTCGGCGATGCTCTGGAACTTGGAGAGCTTGACGTTGGTGTCCGTCGCGACCTCCGCGAGGTAGCCGTCGACAAGCTTGGCCACCGTGCTGATCGGCATGAGCTCACCGGAGGGGCCGTCGACCAGCTGGGCTTCGTCCGTGATCTCCGGCGAGGCGGCGAACGCCGACGTGTTCGCGGCGACGAACTGCTCCAGCATCCGCTGCACGCAGTCGACGTCGTAGAGCGTCTCGACGGCGTAGCCGGTGTTGGGGATCAGGAGGTCCTCCAGCGCCGCCTCCTCGAGCTGGTTCCCGGCCATCCTCTCCAGCGCGTCGCGGCACGCCGCGCCGGCGTTCAGGATCGTGGCGGTGCGGAGGAGCCCGAGCAGGAACCTCGTCGTGGCGACGCCCCTCTCGACGGGGAGCAGCGCGACGATCTCCTCCAGGAGCGCCCTCTGCTCCACGTCCGAGAGCACGGTCCCCGACGCGCCGCCGCCGCCGACGTAACCGGAGTGGCGGGTCAGACCGGAGAGGTGGCGCTTGGCGTAGTGCGTCAGCGAGCCGGCGATGTTCTCGGGGCTCATGCCCTTGGACCTCATCGCCGTGATGAGCCTCTTGTACACCGGCAGCTTCAGCGACGACGCCTGCTTGTACCACCAGTCCGGGCCCGGCGACCTCGGCTTGCCGGCGGTGGCGATGCCGTTCCACATCACCGTCTCCTCGAGGCCCCTCGCCGTGTAGTACTCCACCATCGGCCAGCCGAAGAGGGTCGGGTCGGCGCAGGCCTTGCTCGCCAGCGCGTCGATGCAGCGCGGCACGACGAGGAGCTCCTCGGCGAGCGGGAGGAGCGCGCCGTCGCACGACCGCAGCGCGCGCAAGGCGTCGTCCCAGCTGCCGAGCACGTCGCGGAGGAACGCCTCCGCCTGCTCGACGAGGTTGCCCTCGCCGCCGTGGTCCTCGGTCATGCCGAGGTGCTCCGCCGCGCACCGCAGCGCGACCACGTTCCCGGCGTCGAGCTCCGCCCTGACGTCGTAGCAGAACCTGGCCGCCAGCTCGAACGCCGCGGCGCCGCCGGGGACGTCGTGGAGCTTGACGCTGCACGGCTCGCCGTCGTCGGCGCCGGCGGCTGCTTCGCTTATCAGCTTTTGCAGCGTGCCACTTCGGCTCATCAATGGGAACTGGAAATGGAAGAGCAATTTGACACACGTCAGTAGAGAAAAATCTTAAAATGTTCAGATTATGCAGAATTTAAGGCTTCTGTCCCTGTTCTTGAACATTTCTTTTTAATCTTTGTAGTAGTTAATTCATTCATTTAAACCCTCAAATAGCTGTCACAAAAATCAGATAATCCATCAATATATCGATTTCAGCTACCTCAAACAGGACATGGAACAAGAAAACAGGATGACAGATGATATCTTTTCATCAAGAAACCAAATTGTTGACGCATGTGTAATGAGTTCAATTTATTGCGCATTTGTACTTCAAGACTCAATAGTGAATTTGCACTAGAAAAAGATAGGAGATTGAAAGAGAGATCAGTGTAGCAGATGTACCTTGTGGAGATGGAAGGAGAAATCTCCAACCTCAACGACCACATCGCTTACAAGCTCAGTCATGCAAGTCCTGCAAGATTGAGAAATTTTGATTTTGTCAAAAAAAAAACCAGGATAACATGCAATTCCACTAGCAGAGTGCAGGAAAGAGACCCAAAAGATTCTGCACTGTTCATCTCAAATATGCTCATCTATTCTGTTAATGTGTCAAAGTTTACATCTCAGTTTATTTTCTCTGTTATGTGCTACATTCGGTCAAAACTGAAAGTTAAGTTCATCTTACAGGTGTATTATGATCGAGTTACTGTCATCTTAACCTGATCAAAGATAGCGATATTTTTTTTGGAAAAAAAAAACCTGAAATGAAGAATTTTCATGGAAGAAAATCCATGCAGTCTGTGCGCTACAGGGACACAATCAACAAGTCATATGTTAGGATCACATTGAACCCTAACGAAGGCAAATATATATATACATATATATAGAAGTTAACGAATCGTTTAGGAGATGAACACACGCAAAGCGTCTCAAACATGAACAAGGAGATGATTGGGGATAGATACGATAGGGGATAGGACGAGCGACAGGTGAAGAAGTACCAGGAATTAGGATCTTGAAATTGGAAGCAGTCGGCAGGTTTCGATCCGAGAACCTTCGTAATCGCCATCGCCAAATCCGATCTCAAACCCTCAACGATCGATTAATAGGGATTAGATAGACTGAAGAACACAATCAATTCCGCCCCAGAACGACGCAGCAACTGCACAATTTCGCATTGATCTCCCAAATGGACCTGATCGTGGATGATGAGGAGGCGAAGAAGAAGAAGAAGAAGGTGGTTTGGCAATGGCGGCGAGCTTGTTCGTTCGTCAGTGAAGAACTGGGCAGAGGATTAAATCATCAAACAGAAATGGAAGGTGGCGAGACGAACACCGTGGAATCCAGCAGTTCGCTTCGCTAAAAAACTACGTTAGATTTGCGTCAAAAAAAAAAAAACTACGTTAGATTAGCACCTAGCTGCTGCGTGCGTGGTGTGGGGCCTCTAAAACCGCGCCGTGATTAGTGAAACAAACTCCCCGTTTTGGTCAGTGTCGAACTACTATCTCGATAGGGAACAGTCAGATTTATGCGCTGGAAAACGCGTGTGTTGCATGCACATGTCTTCTGTTTAATTATTCATCTGATGATGATCATGGATAGTCATTTCACTAGAGATAACAAAAAATCCTGGCCAAAATTATGGTGTCAAGACTCAAGAGCATTTCGGGCTTATTTATATTGTTCCTTTACAAAAACAACAAAATTCAGTAAAATTAGAAATAAAGAATGTCTAAATTTGTCATGACTGCGTTAAAAAAATTGCAACGTACCTCTATCATTATTATTTCCAAAAGAATCTGTAACGCGAGTAATTTGGCCCATGCATGCAGCCCATGGGATAATTCACCATCGCGGCATCAAGCAGAAAATCACGATAAAGAGAGAATATCGGCCAGAACTCTGTGGCAAATGAAATCTGCAAAGCCACTCACGTTTGTAGCAAAACTGAGTATGCAACCCAACTTTGGGGCATACTAGCAATTTTTTTTTAAAAAAAATTCTAGTAGGCTATAAAGCAGAAACAGCTTGGTGCAATGAGAGTAGTATAGTCATTGAATCTTGTCTAGATACAATTAATCATACATGTGGATGTACATCTCTTTATGATCAGAAAAGAATGGAATTGGTTTGCTATGTCCTGTTGATTTCAAGCGTTGCTTACTTGTATTACTATGTGGTTAATTAATCAGCATTGTTGGCATCAACTATTCATCGTAAAAATAGAGTCACGTATCACGTAAAAATAAAATGAAATGGATGCGGCCGTTAGATTACACGTGTGGTTAACTTCTGAATTTTCTGAATTCTGAAGCAGCTATCAGTTCAGGCTGGTGATGCGACGTCACGGTTGTGCTCCCCGAAGAGCCGATTCAAGAACATGGCCAGCCTAACTCCCCCCTGCGCGATTCGTCGTGTCACGATCGGGAGCCGTGAGCCGAAGTAGTCATCTGGAAATAACAAATTGACAATCCCATGACATCAGCTAGGTTCAGACTTCAGAGATGTGTGCTTGTTCTAGCAAAGGCAGCATTACCTGACAGAGTTTCGCCTTCACGGACATCGTTGTACGCCCATTTGCAAGCCAAATTTATGCTCTCTGTAGCGTACCTGTTGTATGATAGAAAAATATGATTCGAATGCAAAAAACCAAGGCGATTCTTTCTTTGTTAAACAATACAGAATTGTGGTTTCAGAATTTTGGATTGTACTGACTTGGTTGAGCAAGACAGGAGATCCTCGCAGTCTCCCCAAGAGGATACGTCATCAGACCACGTTCCCTGGAGATGAAAAATTGCAGAAATTCGTTCGTTCAAAATAATTTTGCAGGAATTTTTCTCATGTTTCTTTGCTTGGAAGAGTTGTTTTCAGGCAGTTCTCTTACCGTGGTGAAGTTGTGCACAAGGTCCTTTTGAAACGCATCCATGTCCTTGCCGTAGAATTCAGCAATAGCTGTGAGTATCATCTCCCTATCCCACACCTGAAAAAACACCAGACAGACTTGAAAAGTAAGTAAATTGAGCTTAACGGCAGGTTTTTCACATGGAAGGAATTATGTGCAAGGATCAAGGAAGTTGATTACATGATGGAGATTGGATTTGTGCCTGAACCAGCGTAGATTAATCGTATTGCCCCCTTGGTCGCTCGTGAACCCAACATGCATTGGCTGGATGGACAGATAAAATAGTTAGTATGTTGATGTGTATGAACTGTTGCAGGGAGTGCATGAGAGTAGACTAATTGGTAAGGTTACCTGATGAACATCTCCCATGAAGTGTGACAAGAATAGCAGTGCTTCAGTCATGTTATCTGCGTTACAAGCAGTTACAACAATATGAAAGAAAATGAACAGTCAGACAAGAGATACATGACAACTAAACTATATTGGTTGATATGATATACTACAACTGCGTAGTTCTCACATTTGCGATCGGCGCTGCCGTGATTATAGTGCATAAGCTGAGAGGTGAAGTTCGCGATCGCGCCAGCGACGCACATATCCTCCGCACCATCCGCGCCATGGCAATCCCCTGAAAACCCAAACGCGACAGACAGATCAACATATACACCATTATCACAGCAGATTCAGAGTATAGCATAATTCAGAAACTGATGGAGGAGAAGAGTTGCCTAAGCGTACTTGAGTAGACGAAGCTGCAGGCTTTGTCAGGGGTGTCGATGAAGTGGAGAGGGCTCGTCCACCTGTACTTGTACCAGTGCCTGACCTGATCCGGCCACACGCACAGCGCCGACAGGTCGCCGTCCGCCTCCTCCGTCAGCAGGTTCCTCACCGCGTGCGCCGCGGCTGGCTCCAGCAGATCCTGCATCCAACACGGCATCATAATCATCAGTCATTCAGCCTAAATGTTCAGGAATGGTTCGATTGATAGTGATCATTCACCTGCGCGATTCGGCATGTGAGCATGTGACCCTCCTTGCTCCACGAATGAGCCACCGGCGCCGACGCGAGGACGAGCACTGCAGCCGCTGCCGCTGCTAGTAGAAACGATGAGCACTTGTCTGATGCCATTGATCAACGAGACGAGCTTGATCCTGATGAGAGAAAACACCGGGACACAGCAAGTGATATAGAGCAGCATGCAGCAAGCGGAGCAGTGGGAGGCAATGATTTAAGCTTAGCTTAGCTAGCCTTCGTTGAGTGCAAGCATTGTGTGGCGTGTTACCCCGCATGCTTTGCTTCGCACCATCAACCAATCGCCGTTGGGGGTGGTTTCGCCTTTTTGAAAGAGCTACTAGGTTGCTGGGCCTGGGCCGAAGCAGATTCTCTCGTAATGGGCCTCATCAGACGGCCACGGCCCATTTCTCGCTTCACATGGCCGCATTAGGCTGGGCTTAAGGGAGGCGAAACATTTCGCGGGGACGAGGATAACGTCTGCCCAAGCGGAGCGAAAGGGATGACGGGCGCCGCCGCCGCCGTCTCCCCGCTCGTCGCGTGGCCCCGCTCCGCGCCCGCCTCGCGGGGCGGCAGGCGTGCGGCGCGCGCGTCGGCGTTCCACCCGGACGTGTCCCGCGCGGTGGAGTCGCTGCAGGCGGAGTTCCGGGAGGTGGACCGCGCGCTCGCCCTCAACTCCGCCCGCGTCTCCGCCGCCTTCCACGCCGCCCACGTCGCGCCGCACGTAAACCTCCCTCGTCTTCTCTCCTCCTCCGCCGTATGCGGCTCGCTGTCAGGTTCAGGGTATGACGCGCACGCGGCATCCGCGAATTTCAGCATTTCGGTGGCTCGACGGGGTACGGCCACGACGACGGGGGCGGCAGGGAGGTGCTCGACTCCGTCTTCGCCCAGATCGTCGGCGCCGAGGCCGCCATTGTCCGCCCCCAGGTTCCATGTCCACACGCGCTACCATTTCTCTCTGACTCCCCCCATTTCTCCATACATTCCACTCCACTCTCTCCACTGCTTCCATTGCTGAGCTCCACTGAGCTTCTTGTACCTACACCGTAATATATTGACGCGCAATCCTTTTGCGCGTTCGTGAAAAACTGAGCTTCTTGTACTAGTGATGAGCTCTTTGTTAATCGGTTCCAGTTCTTCTCCGGGACGCACGCCATTGCCTGTGCTCTGTTTGCTCTTCTGAGGCCTGGACACGAGGTAAGAGATTAGAGAACACCTGGATGAACTGAGTTTTCGCATTGCTTCTGCTAGCTTAGAAACTGGGAGCTGATGAAAATTTAGAAAATGTGTAGCTCCTGGCTGTCGCTGGTCCTCCCTATGACACCTTGGAGGAGGTGATTGGGATCAGGGGGTCGGCCAATGTGGGATCGCTCAAGGATTTTGGAGTGGCATACCGAGAAGTTCCGGTTTGTTGATTTCTTCACCTTACAAACACCAGGAATGCTTTACATTGTGCTATTTGTGAGTTACTGATGTGGCTTCAGTTGTAGCTTGCAGCAGATGGTGGCCTTGATTGGGATGCTCTTGCAAATGCTGTCAGACCTGAGACCGGATGCGCCTTCATACAAAGATCTTGTGGTTATTCGTGGCGCAAGAGCCTAAGCATATCGGATATCCAGCGAGCTATAGATTTGATAAAGGCAAGATGATATGTTGTGAATTCATGGACCAGCATGTTCTGTATGTGCATTAACTAATGCATATGGTGATATTTGCTCATGGAGTCATGTTTTGGAACTCATTGCAGATGCAAAATCCAAACTGCATGGTTATGGTTGACAATTGCTATGGTGAATTTGTTGAGACGTCAGAGCCTCCAATGGTGGTATGTTCATGCTTGTAGCCACCTTAAGCATTAGATTTTAGTTACCTGATTGGGTACTTTCATGGCAGGGAGCAGATTTGATTGCGGGTAGTTTGATAAAGAATCCAGGTGGGACAATTGCACCTTGTGGTGGCTATGTCGCAGGGAAGAAAGATTTGGTTGCGGCAGCAGCAGCTCGCCTGTCTGCACCTGGACTTGGGGTAGAGTTTGGGTCTACACCTGGACATGTGATGCGGGCACTGTTTCAAGGCTTGTTTCTTGCTCCGCAAATGGTTGGAGAAGCTGTCAAGGTAAGTTATTTATAAATTTCCACATCTTTAACCAATAAAATGAAAAAATAAAACAGCATGCAAGATATCAAGTGACAGTCTTATACCATCCACAGGGAGGCATGCTTATTGCAGAAGTCATGTCAACCAAGGGCTATAGAGTTCAGCCACTTCCAAGGGTTCCTCGCCATGATATTGTGCAGGTTGGATCTACATGTTTAAACATCACTTCACCAGCACAAAAATATTCATACAGCCATGATAGTGCGGCATATATGGCTGAAGGAACCATCCAATTAGAAGTTTGATTTTGAGTACTGACAGAAGGCCAACCAAGCCTTAAAAGAGTTTAGAACACTGCAGTCTAGGCATTTCAGTGATAAATTATCTCTTCATTTTCTCAGGCAGTAGAGCTTGGCAACAGGGAGAGACTCATAGCATTCTGCGAAATAGTCCAACAAACTTGCCCAGTAGGATCATTTATTAAACCAACTGCTGGGGAAACTCCTGGTTATGCTTCAGAGGTTTGTTTATATGCTTTCCTGCATTGCATTGTGCTTATTGCTTTATCTTTATCAATGCTAGGGTGGTTTATTTCATTTATTTGTTTCTCACTGAAATGATTTCTTTTCCAAATACTCCCTCCATCCCAAAATATACGGGATTTTGGGTGGATGTGTTACATCCATCCAAAATCCCTTATATTTTGGGACAGAGGGAGTACTACACATTGTTCTTTTCTTTTATGTTCTAAAAAGACCTTTCATTAGTGTGCTATGATACAAGAATGGTTAATCAAATTGAATCAGGTCATTTTTGCTGATGGGACATTCATAGATGGAAGCACAAGTGAGCTATCATGTGATGGGCCCTTAAGAGATCCATACGCTGTATTCTGTCAGGTTAGTTGAAGTCATGCTTCAGACTAGTTACATGTACCAATCTTTCACCCTACTATCATCCATCCCTAGTGCTGATGGTTCCTTTCCTCTGGAAATGTAACGGTGCAGGGAGGAACACATTGGACACAATGGGCTCTTGTCCTCAGCGACGTTCTGAAGATTATATAGCTGTCTGTTGCCAAAAGTGCATAATACTTTCATCTTCTGGAATGGGTTGCCTTTTTTTTGGTATAATTGATTGCTAGGTATATGATATTGATTGAAATGAAAATTGTCAGGTGAAGTTCATAATTCTGCTTGGTATTGATGTTGTCAGTTCTGAAAGTTGTCAACTCATAATTGGGATTACTGACTTAATGCAGGAAACAAACATGGCGCACGTCTTTGGTTGAACTGATGAATAGTATTAAAATTTTAAAGAAATCGAGATATTCACAGTTGTGAAGAGGTCAGCAGGCTGCATTGATTAGAGTAACTTCGAACTAAAGAATCCCAAGGACAGATAGCCAAAGCATCACAATTCACAAGGACAGCTAGCTTCAGCCATTGACTTGCCAGTTCATTTGGGCTAGAACTGAGTTGTATGGTTTACTAGTTAGAAACTTCTTACTTGGAAGCGATGCACTAGTTCTACGAGCTTGTAGCTTCAGAAGAGATAGGGCCAAGATGGCTCTCACAGTGCATCATTCTGGAGGATATTTGTGTATAATGAATTCATATTGCTTAGAGTGCCAGCCTGCCAGGACTCGTTTGCGATTGAGATCAAATTTTAGAGTATGCTTTTCCACGTTTCTCTACGAAATATTTTTTGCTGAGGATTATGGCTTCCTGAGTTCGTTTGTAACAATTCTTCTCATGAAGCCATTTTTGTAAACAGTTCGTTTGTCAAAATTATTGTCATGAATTGCTTATTTGCTTATTTGGTAGAAATCCCAAAGATACGGACCACTTTCCTATAGAAAGAAGAGTTCAATGGACTGTATGCAAAGTTGTGGGTTTGTCCAAGGAATAAATTTGTGATCCAAGACATCCTACTCTGGGATCAGATACAAGTGCAGGCATCCTAGCTATTGCCAGCGTCTTACGAGACACTAACAAAAGTCAAGTGCCAAACTTTATGCTCCTAATCTCTATAAGGACTAAATAATCAAATTTTGAAGAGCATGTGCCTCACCTTGAAGTAAGTGAAGCATAGCAGTATACGCTAGCTAACAGCCTGCACCTCCCAGTGCCATGTTTCTCCATCACTAAGCAAGTTACTTTTCTTTCCAGAATCCAAGCAACCAAAAAGACAAGTTCAGTTTCTTCATATTGCTGCCATAGTAGTAGCCTCATTCTGCAGTAAACAGCACAAGATACTGGAAGGGTGTCAATAAGAGGGGGCATGGATTCAAGCAAGTACAGATCAAGAGGCTACACGATGGCAAGCAGCAACAACAAGAGGCCACCTCCTTACCTCCTCCTGCTGCTGCTGGCACTCGGCGCTGCGGCGCTGAGCGTGGGCATCCTGCACAAGATGAGGGAGCGCCGCGTCTTCTCCATCCTCCTCCAGGAACGCGATCAGCAGCTTATCTCCCTTCAAGCCCTCCTGCAGGTATGGATATATTTCTGGAATATCATGCATCGAATTCTTATACATTGGCCATCCAGGAAGTTGTAGCCAAAAAATAGTCTAGCATTATATATTTTTTAATCAACACATCATGTTCACATAATACAAGTACTGAAATAAATTCAAGCTCCCCTAAGAGGCTAGAAGCTGTACTCCCGGAGAATGTGAATGTGTACTCGGTATCCCTGTGCATATTAATATTCCCTCCGTATTTTAATGTATGACGCCGTTGACTTTTCGACCAACGTTTGACCATTCGTTTTATTCAAAATTTTTGTGCAAATATGAAAATATTTATGTCATGCTTAAGAACATTTGATGACAAATCAAGTCATAATAAAATAAATGATAATTACATAAATTTTTTGAATAAGACGAATGGTCAAACGTTGGACAAAAAATCAACGACGTCATACATTAAAATATGGAGGTAGTAGATGAAGTATACACCTCACCCTGCACTACTGCACTCACAAAAGTTATGTAAAGCCCAAGCTGTGTAATCTGGAACTAAAATTCAAACTTGCCAAAGACTTCCATACTGACAGCGTTCCAGAGAAACTTCGAGCTAGATACATCATATCAGAAATCCGGAGTATTACTTTCAAATAGACAGAGATATATACTCAACTGAACATCCTCTTAGTTCAATCTATAATCATTCCGAAAGGTAAACACTGCAATACCAGTAGCATTCTAGATTTTTTTTTAGATAATAGATACAAGCACTCTAGATATGTAAAACTTAAGAATGTATGCCTTTCAGTTACTGGGTTCTATAATCATTTTTTGGGTCAGTTCAGATACCTGATCTTTGAATTCCATAATATATCGTTAATCACATAGTAATGTTTTATTTTGCCAGAAAGAACAAGAAATCAGTAAAGAGATGAGGAGAAAGATGGATGAATTAGAAGCCAAAACATCTGTCCTAAGCATTGAGAGGACAGAACTGAAAAACAAGCTCATGGATTCTGAAACCACCACGACATATCTCACAAATACCCAGAAAGAGCTGGAAGCGGCTCTAGTGGAAAAAGAGGGTCATATCAACCAAATGAAAGAGAATGCGGCTGCTTCAGGCCCTGAACAAATGGCAGCTATAAAGGAACTTCTGCAGCAAAAAGAAGCTGAGCTTGAAGAGATCAAGACCAAGTTGCACGACTACAAGAAATCAGATACAAATATCAGCGAGAGCATTTTGGTTGGCACAAACAATGAGAATACAACTTCTGACACAGCGGTACCTGAGAATTCTGCAAACCCTGGTGACTCTGCTCCAGCAGAAGAACATCATTCTTACGACAATAGTGCGTCAGAGAGTAACCAAGATGAGAGCACTGGAGCAAGCACAAACAACGAAAATGCAACTGTTGATACTGTGGTGGTCGATAAGTATGCAAACTCTAGTGATTCCACACCTGCTACTACAGAAGAACCGCATCCCTACAACACCACTGCATCAGAGAGCAACCCTCAAGAAAATAGTTCCCCAGAACAACACTTTATAAAGCTTAGAACTAACAGGGAAGATGATGAACCACAAGACAAAACAACAGGTGATGCCAATGATAATTCAAATGATGCTCTAGAGGGAAGCCACTTGGGGAAATCTGAACTTCCTCAGTGGAGCCCCAAATTGGCAGATAGTCAAGATAATAGCACAGAAGAACTAGATAGCACTAGACAGTTGGAGAACTCACAAGGTGAGGCCAACTATGAAAGCAGAGGCAGTAATCTGCTGGAGAAAGAGGTGGAAGCCAGCAACGAAGTTGAACCAATGAAGGAAACCAGTCCTGAGACTGAGCTGGAGACTTCGAAGGATAGCTTGAGTGAAGCCAACCAAAACAGTACACAGGCTGTTGAACCTGTGGCTGATCCTGCAGATGTGAAGCCCCGTATGCCCATATATAATGATGAAACAAAAGAGACAAGCAAGAGACGTAGGCGGAGAAAGTTTAGATCCAGAAGGAAAAAGAGGACCAATGCTCCTTCTACCAATGTTGATGGAGAAGTCACCAAAGTAAGGTAGCCACAGCAAAACCAAAAAGATACTTGGATTTGGAAAATGACTGCAATGCAATGATGAATCATAAAAGGTATAGATAGGAAAATTGCAATAATCATATTGCGAAAAGAGATGGACCCAGATGAGCTGCCATGATGCTGATATGAGCCCTGAAGAGAAGGAAAGAAAATGAATAGTGAAGCAGCTGCAGTTACCAGTTTGTAGCCGATGGCAGCACAAATGAATGATTGTGTGTTTTGAATGATTACACTTTGTGTTGTGTGTAAACACTTGTGTGGCACGACAAGTTCATGCAAAAGTTGCTGTAAGCACTAAATTTCTGTGTGGAGGTTAAACATGATAATCTTTATGATTACTACGACATCATGTCATAAAGTCACATTTCCTGGATGAGCTAACTTTGTTTATACTTTATACTAACATTGCATGGCCTCATAAAGGGCATGCAAAGTGCAAAACAACATTTAGAAAATATATACGATAATTATGCTTTGTGAGACATTTAAACAATAAGCTTTACTCTGAACATCCAATAAATATATATATCTCAAAACTTGCTGTGACACCACAAGAATTTTAAATCAAATCTACAATTATGCCCTCAATTTTCTCACCCAAAAAATCAAAATTGAAAAAATTACATTGGTGGTTGCGAGTTATGAATGTATATAATGGACGCTGCTCAAATAACAGCCTAATCCATGGCAATCTTGGCTCTTTCTGATGTTTACCTGTGCCAGTCACATCTGTGGTTGCTGTACTTCATCAACTACAGGTAGTATAAACGGCCGCCCATGTCTAATCTGAGGATGTAATTTCAGGACAAAGTTAATCAGTTCTGTTACTGTGTTCACGTGTGGCTGTTGAGTAAGGCATTGAAGCATTTCCACTAGGAAGTTCACAAAAAATTCTAATGTTGATACACATTCATTAGTGCGTGAAGCACCGCTGAAGCAGAGGGTGTGAATAGTCTACATAGTTATCCCAGAAGCCCTTGTACTTCTCCATCCCAATTTTTAGCCATGGCTTCATATTTCCATTGTAATGCAACACTGCACCTTCTTTGATAGTAGCGGGATCCACTGTTGTGTAGCCCAGTCCCAAGACATGCCATTTGGGGTCCAATGGCTCAACCAAGCCATAGAAAGCAAGAAGACCAGGTGGTAAAGATCCAAGCTTCCATAGGGTATGATCAGCATTGCGCTCTTGCCAGTAATGATATATACCTGTCACATTCTTATTCCTCCACATCACAAGATCAAGAACATTCATACCAAATGCCCAGCCACAGGCATCAGGATCAAAATGAGCACGGATTAGAGGATGGGAATGGTTAAGATACTTATGGAACCTGTGAAATGTCTCCATGCAAGTCTCTACAGCTCCCATAACATTTCCATTGAGGTTGATGGTAAACAATTCCGACAAGTCCTTTTGGACAACAATGTCATCATCAAGAAATACGACCTTACGCAATTCTGGATAGATTTCTGGGATATAGAACCTCAGGTGGTTAAGCATTGATAAGTACTTAGGGTTCCTGAATTTGACTGGTGTTCCACGATTACCACTGCCAGAGAAGTAGTAGTTCTGGGTGGCAGCATCCTGGAGCTGTTTAAGAACAGGAACATACGATGAATTGAGCCAAGTGAAATCCTCTACCTTTTGAATCTCCACAGTGGCTCCTCTGTAATCATTCAGGGCGAACCACGCCCTCATGGGAGCATAATTCACCTCGTCAGTCACCAAGTGAAAAACAATCTTTTCAGGGCGCATTGAATTTAGAGTTGTAGAATTGACGACAACAGAAACAGCAAGGATGTTGTCCGAGAAAACACAGTAATGGTAAAGGCTGTTATCCCTTAGGTTGCTCTGTACTGCTGGGCTCCTCTCAGTAAACTTCCTCTGGAGCTCAGTTGTCTTGAACCATTCCATGGTTAACCGGACTCCAAGGCAGTAAAGCCCCTTTGGAAGCTCCTCGGCAGCAATCTGCCCATACTTGGTGCTCTTTTCCGCCTCAGCTTTCGATTTCTCCTCTAGGGATTGAATCTGACCCTTCAACTTCATGATTGTAACTGCACTATCATAGCGGAACTGCTGCGCCTGGAAGAACAACACCGACATGTCCCTAATTGCCTTCTCCGCATCCTGCTCCGTCACCGTGCCACCATGGGCTGCAGCATGCGCAAGGATGCTCTGCGCCCGCCGTATCTGCGAGCTAAGCTCTGCTGCAAACTGCAGGTTATTGGCTTCCTTCGCAACGACGAGGTAGGTTTTTGCAAGGGAAATCTGGTCCATAAGCTGCCTTGAAAACGAGTGAGCACTCAGCATTTCGTCGGTCATGTTGAACGCATCCGTAACGCCATCGAGGTAAGATCTCTGCACATTACAGGAGCCACGAATTTCAAACGCTACTCATGATCATGAACTAATTAAAACCGGATCAACTCAAAAGCCAAATGCAAATGAGCTAACGAAATGTGAAGCAAAGTAGATATGAGACGCGATTCGCTCACCTGATGGAGGAGAGGGGAGGTGGTGGCCGCGGATCTGGACGAGTCGGTGGAGGGGAGCACCACCGGGTCGGGGTCGGGCGAGCCCCGGAGCGCGAGCAGGAGGAAGAGGCAGGCGAGGGCGAGGAGGAGGGTGACCGCGAGGCGGAACCACCACGGGCGCTGCTGCCACCGGCGCTTGAACGACGACGGCCGCCGCTGGTCGAGGAACGGCCGCCGCCTCATCGGATCGCGCGGCCGCGCCGGTGCGCCGCCGGTATCCAGCGGGGCAAGGGCAGGGCACGGCACGGCACGGCGACGAGATCTGGGGGGACGCGGTAACCGCTTTGTGCGGCGAAGGTTTTTGTCCCCCCCGCCCCTCCCTTTTCCTTTTGTTTCTCTCGTGCGTCGCGTCGCGCCGCGCCTTCCCTTCCGCCCAGATCTCGCGCGGCGCGGCGCGGCAGAGGCAGGCAGCTTCGCCTTCGTTGCGTTGCCTTGCCTGCCTCTCTCTGCGTGCGCGGCTTGACTGCTCCACGACTGGTTTGGATCTTGTAACTTGTCGCTCACATGATCGCATAGCATCCCATCCACTGACTGGGTAAGTTTGAAAATTCACAGGGCTTTTCCCGGTTCACCGTTCTCTTCATCAAATGTTAGGTGAGGTAGGAAAAGAAAAGGAAGTCCATTCTATACCATCCCAATAGCACGTCGTAAAAGAATTGATAAACTTGTGTATTATTACTCCGTATTACTCCCTCTCTCCCATAAAAACTCTATTTTTCAGTCTTTATATAACATTTAACTTTTCATCTTATTTAAAATTTTTCTATCATCAGTATTTCTATTTTTATTAGATGATAAAATATAAATAGCACTTTATATGCGACTATATAAAAAATCCATAAAAAATTTAAGTAAGATGGGTAGTCAAGTGTTGGAAAAAGAAAAAAAATGAAATCTTTATGGGATGGATGGAGTATATAAAAGTATAGTGATAAACTATAACAAACTCAATATTATCGAATATTTTTTAAAAAAATATGCAGACAAGTGTAAATTGTTTTTTAATTAGTTATGGTTTGGTTTACCCATTTTGATTTGTTTACTACAGGTAGCCATTAATTAGGAAGTTGATAGATGGTTGTGACAATAATAATATTTTTACTAGTATGATAAGCTGGTTTTAACTGTTTTGGAAAGGATACCAACAAGGATCTGTGGCTGGGGGAAGTAAAAAATGAAACATGGTTTTGATACGTAGGAGCACATGTCTGCATGAAGAAAAATAAATACATAACTTCATAAATTAATAGCTAATACCAATTTCCCGGTTAGTACAATCATTTACACTTGCCAACTGATCCAACAGATTCATTATTGTTCAATCTTAGTCATGCATTTATTGTTTTATTTCCTACTGGAGTACATAAAGAAGAATAACCACCATAACCTCCCTCCATTTGACAAAAAAAAATTAGATTAATTTGAATTTAAGCAAAATTCAAATAATTTACTGATAGTCACCTTCATGGCAGATAAAATTTATTGTTTCTAGCTCCGCCACTGCATTTACGTAAACACAAGTGTGTTTCAGCTGTTGAAATATATGGTATTATGCGCAAACGGTAACACGTATGTCTTCCTTGTGTCTACTAGTGTAAAAGCGGAGCCGTTCTCCACCTTCTGCACTACCGTATTCTCTCAATAAATAAACTAAGCCTCTGTTTGTTTCAGCTTAAAATTATTGTAATATATATTATTAAGCCAGATTACTGTAAGCTGAATTATAATAAGCCGACATAGAATAAGCTTTGAGTTGTTTGTTTCTCTGGATTATAAGCTATTTGTTAGCTGGTAGCCACCCAATAATCTAAAATAAGCATCTTTAAAGTGGATTACTAGATTATAGAGTGGATTATCGAAAGAAAAAGCAATCACACCACATATTTCCAGAAGTCTAATGAACGAGGCTCCAGAAGTCTAATGAGATTAAGGAGGATTTGAAAGAGATTAATCTCACACCTATTATGGTGTGAAATTAAACGAACAAGGCCGAAATGTGTACTAGGCCGGCCTAATTCAGATTCCCAATAGCCCATAAGGCCCGCACCATACAAGAGCCCAGCCCTATATCTAAAGCCTTCTCCTTCCCTTTGCCACCATCCGTACCGACCGAACCGACCACGACGAGCTCGAACCATCGAAGCCGAAGCGCGCACGAAGCGACCCCCCCCCCCCCTCCTCTCTCTCTCTCTCTCTTTCTCTCTCTCGCCTCGCGAAACCCAGCGAGCCCTAGCCGATGGCCTCGCCGGAGCGGGAGGAGGAGGAGGCCGCGCGATCGCCTCCGCCGAAGCGCCCCCGCCGCGACGGTGACGCCCCGCCGGAACCCCAGCCTGCCCGCGTGGGCCTCAACCCGGCGGACTGCGACCTCGGTACGCACGGTTCTTCCTTTGCAGGTTGCAATCGATCACGCGCTCTGCTCACCACTCCCTCTTCCGTTGCTGTGTGGCGGCCAGATTTCGACGTCGGCGGCGGCGGGCTCCGGGGGGAGGCGCTGCATGATGGCGGGTTCGCCTACTGCTGGTCGGGCGCGCGCGCCACGGTGGGCGTGAGGGGTGGCGGGAAGTACTGCTTCGGGTGCAAGGTCGTCGCCGAGCAGGCCGTGGAGATGGAGGACACGGCCGCGGACCAGCAGCACCTCTGCCGCGTCGGGGTCTCGAGGGGCGGCGACCCCGTGGGGGCCCTCGGGGAGACCGGCCACAGCTTCGGGTTTGGGGGCACGGGGAAATTCTCCCACCAGGGCAAGTTTGTGGAGTATGGCGTCAAGTTTGGGGTTGGGGATACGGTTGTCTGCGCCGTGGACCTTGATTCCAAGCCGTTGGCGTCGATCGGGTTCTCCAGGAATGGGGAGTGGCTTGGCATTGCCAAGCACTTCGATGCAAGTGACAAAGGGCTGGGTTTGGTTGAATCTCCTGTGAGCTCAATGCAATGGGAGTCGGCAATCTTTCCACATGTGTTGCTGAAGAATGTTGTTGTCGAGATGCAATTCAGCAAGGAGGATGGATTGCAGCTTGTTGATGGTTATGAGCTCTGGCCCTCAGCTTGTGTCGATGGGAATGCGGTATCTGGCCCTGTGTTTGCAGAACAAAAAGAGTGTGAAATCATGATGATGGTTGGTCTCCCAGCTTCAGGGAAGTCAACATGGGCAGAGAAGTGTATCAAGGAGCACAAGGAGAAGCGCTTTATCCTTCTCGGGACTAATCTTGCATTGGTGCAAATGAAGGTTCCTATGCTTGTTTCACAACTTGCATGCTCTATGATTTCCACTATTTTCAGTTTATGACTTTCCTTTTGCAGGTGCCAGGATTGCTGCGTAAGAATAACTACGGTGAACGCTTTGAACGTTTGATGGATCGTGCCACAATGATTTTCAACACATTGCTGACCAGGGCTGCGAAGATCCCTCGCAACTACATCATCGATCAGACTAATGTTTACAAAAATGCCCGTAGTCGCAAACTAAGGCCATTTGCAAACTACCGTAAGGTAAGCTGCGAAAGGATAACAGTTTCACAGTTTGCCGTGTTGTTGCTGAATTAATAAATGTCAATGTTGGATGCGTTTGTGGGGTGTTTAATTTCATATACTTGTTGTGCAACAGACTGCTGTGGTTGTGTTCCCATCGCCAAGTGAACTCAAGGTCCGGGCAGCAAAGCGTTTCAAGGAAATGGGGAAGGATGTGCCAGCTGATGCAGTAAATGAGATGACAGGTATCCAGCCAAATCCATCACTGCTATCTCGAAATGTTCATTGTCTATGTTCTATGCATCAATTACTTACTATATTGCCATAAACACCTATTTTCAGCTAATTTCGTCTTACCACTGTCCAAGGACATGCCTGATTCTAAAGAGCCCTTTGACGAGGTTGCTTGGCATTGCTGTACTCCATCTTTTGGTTACTATCAAGTTTTTCCTTAGCTCATTACACTTTTCAACATGTGCAGGTAATCTTTGTAGAGCTTTCCAGGGATGAAGCCCAGAGAAACCTGGATGAGATGAAACGTTTGCTGCCAAAAGCCTCAACTCCCAGCTATGCCAATTTCAGTAACCAAAATGTATGTTACCATTATTGCTGCTTATGGATTTGGTCCTATGTTTTGTCATCATGGGTTAGCTTGATCTTTTGATTCATGTACAAGTCCTAACGTAGATGCTTACAGGTGAGCTCAACATATAGTGGGACTATTGCTGGGACAATGCCATCTCTGTCACCAGGTTATCACCGACAAATGGACAGTCCATATGGAAGTGGTGTGCAGACACCAAGGGCCTTGACACACCAACAGGCAGCATGGGGTGTTCAGGGTTTCCAGAGTCCAGCAGGGATTAACCACCATCAAGTCCACTTAAGCAGCTACCCAAATACCCCATACCAACATCAACAAATCCAATCAAACCATCCAAGCACCCCATACCAACATCAAGCCCAATCGACAAGCTACCCAAGTACCCCTTATCAAGATCAAATTCACTCGAGCTACCCAAGTAACCCAACCCAACATCAAATTCATCTGAACTACCCCAGTACCCCAAACCAATACCAAAGCCATTCAACATATCCAAATACCCCATTTCCCGGTCATGGAAATAGCGTATATGATTCCAATGGTGGCCCAGGTCCATACAATCCTAATCCTTACAGCATGAACACCGATATGCAACAAAGAATTCAAGCTCCCATTGGTGACAGGAACCAGTCCTATGCAGTTGTGTCAAATGAAGCCTATGGGAGATCTGGCTATGAAGCGGCAAATTCTGTTGGAAGGCCTATCAATACACATCCTGCCGTGTACAATTCTGGCAGTGGCAATTACATGCCCTATATGCAGCATTCTCACGGTAAGTGGCTAGCTCAGGCTCTTTCTTTTCAGTTCATTTTGTTACAAGCTAATTCAACTTGGTGGATTACAGATTCACTATACAAACTCTTAAAATTACGAAGTGAGAAAAATAAGCTCTGTAACTAGAAACTTTTATAGCACATTTGAGTACATTAGCACTCATCATCATAGGGTTCTTTGACCTATTAATTGGCTACTTGGAATTAGAGATTATGTTGCTACCCGTGAAGTAAAACTACAGATCTTTCTTTGACTGACAGTGTGCTAACATTGAAGTAAAACTAACACATCTTTCTTTGACTGACAACAGATGTGCACAACTCTGGATCACAGTACTCAGCTCCAGTCCCCAGGCCTCCTTACGGAGCTCCTCCACCAAACTATATGAATCCACAGACGAGCATTTGGCATATCTAGCAAGGCAGCTAATTTGTGGCGATAAGCGAACACTGGACATGGTACCAAGAAAAGTAGTTTAAGTAGATATGCGCGAGTGCGTGACCTATAGGTTCCAGGGAACCTTTGGCAGTTCGGCTCGCAGATTTTTGTATAGTTATATGCACGCATAAACCATTCTCCGTATGTATCCAGTTTACGACTTTTGCATGATCAATTAGTATTGGTTTGGCCAACGCAGAGTGTTATGTCGTGAACAACTTTCGGACGCTCGGTCAGGTACGCCTGAATCATGAAAACGTATATTCTAGTCTCTGAAGAACACCTACTATTGATGATGAGAATCCCTTGTGCCCGCATGAATGTCATGTTGCCAATGTACAAACTGACATCCAGCATTTAGCAGCTACAAGCACGTAAATCCATGAGGCTAAGGAATGTACAAATCACGCGAGTTGGCGTTCCAGTAGTTCATTGGAAACTTAATTTGCCAGGCAGACTTAGACTAACAAGAGGTCATCTCCTCCTAACAGCTCCGTAGTTCCTAGTGACCTGCAGAGTAACACAAAGTCGTAAAACCAACAGTTTGTAGGTCGTATTCTAAAAAAAAAACAGTTTGTAGGTCGTAAAACCAACGGTTTGTAGTATCAGTGCGTGTACACAACACAATGCAAACAATTTAATGACAAACCACAAGAAGACCCGTCAAACTGACAAAATGTCAAGGTGATTCACTTACCCGAGGTGGAGGTTTCTTCGGCCTGTCATCTTCATCATCGTCATCATCATCTTTGCTCATCAGCATGCTCTGGATGGATGAAATATCTGCTTTTCTACCCCTTTTTGCAGTAGCGCCTCTACCCCTACCTCTACCACCTCTAGGAGCTGCCCTTTTCCGTCCAGTTTGTTGGGGACTCTCCTCCGGTTCCTGTGAGTATTCAAGAATATACAATGTTTCAGTTCACCAGGTCATTTGCCACGAGCAAAAGCGCACATTATATTTATGCGTATTAATACAGAAAAAGTACAGAACTACAAATAGAGGAAATGATCATACTGAAGATTCAACAACTTCGTTTGCTTCATTAGTCTCATTTTCCTCATCTGAAGAAGATTGCACTTCCTCACTGCGGATAGCAGCACTTGACCTGCAAAATATTGGATGGTAAAATTAGCATTGGAGCATCTACTGCAGAGTTAAAACCAGGGCACACGATTTCAAACACCTTTAACACTCAAAATGCAAATTAGACTGTACCATGGCTATTCCATTTTGGCATAGGTTGCACAGTTATGGTATAAATGCAAGGTAGCAATTAATTTAATAACCTTGATTGGCTGAAATTCAGAGTGGTCTGCTTCATTGAGGCCGTCCCTCTTCCCCTGCCCCTTCTGGAAGTTCCAGTTTTGGCAACATCGGTAGCATCTTTAGAGGGTCTTGTAAATCCAGATGCTTTCCTTCCAGCATTAGTTGTTCTTGCACCGAGAAGCATCTCCCTGGTGTCTTCATCATCACTGAAAGAGTTCAGGTTACTTTGAGCTGTAACAGATCTACCTCCAGTATCCTGGTCAAGTATCATAAGAGCAACAAACAATCAGCAACAATGAAAAAATGGCATACAACATTAAGGGCATAAGGACATTGAAACCACCAAGTTTTGAGAGCTTGACGTGAACCGTGAATCTTCCTTGGAGCGGAGGGACCTTTCCTTCACACGTTCCTAAGTAGTTAAAAATATTAACCTTTTAATCACCCCACAACCTCATAGGAACAATAGTAGATTGCTCCAAATACCTGCATGCACTCGCCAACTTTGACTATTATATCTTCTTCCTCTATTTTAAATTTATCTGCCTCTGAATTCAATTTAGTCTGCAGGTTTCAACAAAGGATTTCAATTTTAGATGCATGCAATTTTATCAGGCAGCAAGCAATCAAATAAGAACTAAAAAAGGCTACCTCTGTATTCTAGTCTCATTTCTATTAATGGAAATGGAGAGCTACGGCCCTTTGATAAAAAAAAAGAACTAAAACCAACAATAGAAAATGTAGCAAAGCATACTCTGGTTTCTTCAAGATTCCGCTGCAAACAGGCATAAAACGCCATCTTGTCATCCTTGCTCACAAAATCATGCAATGCAATGTCCAAGTCATCAACTGGAAGAATCTCCATTTTCTGGAAACAAGATTTGTGTCATGAAGCTTATATTGTTACTCTAATATTTTTTTTTAAAAAAAAGAAGGATGTAAGAAGCTATCCAAAGAATCTATAGAACAAAATCAGGAATTCCAGACCCACAAACCCAACTAAGACAATTAAATAGTCCTTGTTTCACAGTACCACTGTTAGTCTCAGGCTATTATTGTAAAAAGCTCATATGGTGAAGTGTAATGGGACCAGATAGAGATGTCGCTCATTAAATTATTGGCTGTTATTCAATAGCTACCATAATGGGCCTCCTAGCCAGAAGTACCTTTCTTGCCATTATATTTCTGAAAATTTAATTATATTTCAGCCTAATACTGTAGGAGTCAAGAATAAACACATTACCATCCATTTAGTGCATAAGGCAGTATAGGAAAAAGGCAAGATCTTTGTTTTACATTTATGATCATCATATATACAACTAAATGGAATCCCATCAAGAAAAACAGATAGCAGCAATTATTTCTCCTAGGAGAAGAGCAAAACTGCAAAATAATACAGAATATGTAGTTTCAAGAAGTACCAAGTTATTTTCGGCAACCAAAGCTTCAATAGTTTGTTGGTTTAGTTCCTCGGGACGAAGTTTCTCAGAGTCATCAATATTGCCTACTGTATATATACATAGACATAGTCAGTTAAACAAAAAAGTCAGAATAACATGGCATCTGTTGCTCCTCATAGCTTGATGCATTCTGCCACTATGTAAATAACTTGTGCACTGTCTTTCTTAAACATAAAGGAATACCTCCAGTAGTCTGACGCTTTTTTGCTGATTTTGAGAAGATAAGAATATCCTGGGGGTTTGCAACCTTACAACAAGAAGCTATCAAATAAGCTCATTCAGGTAAGAATTCTGAGTAAGAACCTAATTAGGGACTCAGATACCTTCCCGACATACTTCTGACCAAATCGTTGTGGATTAATTGTTGAAAACCCAGAGTAATCTACCTACAGAACAATATGAGCACTTTCATTGTTCCTGTCTTGATTAATTTGTGCGGAGTACATCTCTTCTGTTTTTTTTACCTTGATTCTAATTAGTGGAAGTTTGGTCTCTGGTCTACTGGCTGTTGGCTGACTACTCTTCTTAATAAGATTTCTTACCTGAAACAATTGAGTATTATGAGATTGAGGGTTAACGACTTCATTCAACAAAGAAAACTAGACTGACAACAAACGGGCAAATAAGCCAATGTTGAACCAATTCCACACCAGCATGCCACCATGCTTCTCAATAAAATGGAAAAGATTATAACAAATCATGGAAAACTGAAAACTCACAATTTTATCCAAATGTTCAAGAACAGAGGCCTGATCATTGGGATCAACATCCACTTCATCTTTTAACACAACCTATATATTAGGACAGTGAGACCCAAGCACTGAAATAAGCATGAAATGAGGGGTATCATACCTCAGCATAGTGAAAGGGCCTAACGGATCTCAAAGGTATTTTGGTTGGCCTATACTGGTTTCCCTGTTTAAGAATAAAAATGGAATGAGAAAACACCAAACTGAAGTTTTGTTCAACATGAAGAGGAGAGCTTTCAATAGGACCTTGATTTCTAACAAGAGAACATGCTTTGGTTTTGCTTCACCATCAATCAGGGAGGTTGCAACTGATGAGCCTGGTTGAGTGATGTGAAAACCCATCCCAGGTACCTCCTATAAACAATTGATCATATGACAAGTGCATATTCACGTTATTTTTTAAAAAAGAAATCAAATAAAATCCAAGTCATTACCTGGGGATCAATAAGGCATTCATGCTCATGGCCCCATACTATAAAGTCCAGAAAACGTGGTAAGAAATGCTCATTGATTGCGCTTTTAGGGTTTGTTTTTATCCTGTATGATTTCAGGTTTCAATTTTCTTTTCAGTAAGCGGCATGAAGATTATAAAAAAATGAACAAGAATATTGAACCAGTCAGATACTGACATTCCACTACAGTTTGTCACCATTCATTCACCGCCCATACCTATTCTGATGAAGAACAAGAATATTGAACCAGTCAGATACTGACATTCCATCTTGAGTTTCAGGTCGCATCCATTGTACAGCATGAGGTGTCTGAATAATTGATATAAAAATATGATATCAATGTTCAAATGATCAAGAAAGTTTCTTGCTCTAGTGCTGCCAAGTTGCGAATTAACTTCAAATTCTTAGAAAAGTCAATGGAAATGCACCTGAAACATCCTGTTTAATCGTTCATCTCTAATGTTTCCAAGGCCATAGAGCGCAACAAAAGTTGTACCCTGAAATAACAGGAAAAACAGAGGATTAACATGTGAGAGTTCATGGTTTGCCTGCAGCTGAAGTAGCGCACCTTTTTTACGAGTACAGGATAGACTGCTATTTCACCAACACCAGAGCCACCAAGGTCCATCTTCCCAAAATAATTTACAAGATTGCAGGCTGAGAGAATATCAATTGCAGAGAGATTATCCTACAGAGAGGGGCAAGAATGCATGAGAAAAGCTGGCACCCATCATAAGCATAATAACCATAATAACAGAATGTCAGAACGAGATTCTCATACCACACCAGCTGGATCATCATGGTTTCCATGGATAGTGAACACAGGCAATCCAACATTGAAGTTTGGATCTTCATAATTTACTTGGCCGAATCTGTGATTGTACCAAGAAAATTCATGTAAGAAAATTAAGGGGAAAATGCATATCTGCATACACGTATGATATATCAAACCTAAATTTCAGCAAAAGTGACACTTTTATGAAAGATTACATTGAGGGATCACCAAATTTAGAGTACACTCAAGAAAAAAATGGCATGATAGAGTGATATAACTCATCGTCAAAACCTGTTTGGAAAGTTGATTGTCTGATCACTGACAACCTGGAACTTCACTGGCTGGTCATTCAAGCAGTAACGCCGTAGAATCTCAATGGTCTTAACTAAGGTTGAACGTGAAGGTTTGTTCTCATGGAAAAGGTCACCACCAAGTAGCACAAAATCAACCTGCAATTCAGTATGATTTCCATCATATTATAATTCATAATTCATAAATAGAAGGTTATCCCCCAACAGAATGAGCAGGCCAATAAATTTTGCAACACAAGCAGAAAAGAATGGAAAAATGTGCAGCTCCTACAAACCTTATTCTGCTCTGCTAATGAGCATATCTCTTCAAACGCCTCAAATGAATCAAACCTACGAATCTCGTCCTTTTCCATGTAGCCGAGATGGCAATCGGTTGCCACAAGTACACGGAGTGTGTTGCTTTCGTCTCCCCTGAAACACAAGTTGACAGTGAATATATAATGAGTCAAGCGTCATGTCTGTCGCAGTGTAAGTATCAGGTGACAGTTAATAGGATGCTCTGTGCAACCAAATAGTTCATTCTAAGCAAAGCCCAAAGCAATTCGACATAACAACCAATATCAATGTACTTATCTAATACCATCGCTCCACCAGCCACCAGATACTAATGGCTTAAATATACCATGAACATGATAACTCACATTGCCGGTGTTGGTTCAGCTTCAGACTTGAGCCCAAGCACTTTCCTGATCAAACCCTCACTGCATCGATAACAGTAAACAAGCAGCAAAATGTGATATCAAAACACCACGATTGGTTCCATACGTCCATATTCTATTAGCCGAATAGCATCCTCTAATTTCATACTAATCCACTAATGAAATATCTGACCAAAGCAAAGGAACTCACCGGACCAAACCAAACCAAACCAAAACCCTGCGAGCACCGGCGAAGCTTAGGCGACGACAACGCGGTGGCGGCTTCCCCTACTTCGCGAGCAGTTCGGAGACCGTCGTACGGGCCTCTGCTCTGGTCAGCGTCGGCGAGCTGCTCGGGGACGGCGGGGTGGAGGCGGCTAGGGGGCGGAGCATCAGTCGTCGCCGGGAGGGGCGCCGCGGCGGCGAGCTGTGGACGAGCGGCGGCGGCGGAGTGGGCTAGGTTGTGCGCGCCCTTCTCGATGTAGCAATAGCAATGGGCCGGCCCATCAAGGCCCATTAATATCAATACACGAGCCCACTTTCCATATACACGGCCCGTTTTCCTCTAGGGTTAGGTCAAGGTCTCTTCCCCTCCTCACCTCTATTAAATCCGCAGGAGAGGCCGCCGCCACCACCACCGTCCGCATCGCGATCACCCACCACCACATCACGCCGGAGAAGTAGTCGGCGGCGGCGGCGGCGAAGGCGAAGATGGTGTGCATACGGCAGGCGACGATCGACGACCTGCTGGCGATGCAGGCGTGCAACCTGATGTGCCTGCCGGAGAACTACCAGATGAAGTACTACCTCTACCACATGCTGTCGTGGCCGCAGCTGCTGTTCGTGGCGGAGGATTACGGCGGCCGGATCGTCGGCTACGTGCTCGCGAAGATGGAGGAGGACCCCTCGGAGCCTTGCCACGGCCACATCACCTCCCTCGCCGTGCTCCGCTCCCACCGCAAGCTCGGCCTCGCCACCAAGCTCATGTCCGCCGCGCAGGCTGCCATGGACCAGGTGTTCGGCGCCGAGTACGTCTCCCTCCACGTCCGCCGCTCCAACCGCGCGGCCTTCAACCTCTACACCTCCACGCTCGGGTACCAGATCCACGACGTCGAGGCCAAGTACTACGCCGACGGCGAGGACGCCTACGACATGCGCAAGCCGCTGCGGCAGCCGCAGCCCAAGAAGCACCACCATCACCACCACCATCATCACGGCCCCGGTGGTTGTTGCTCACACGATGCTCCTCCCGCGGCATCTGGGTCTTCTCCGCCGTCCTCTAATTCGCCAGAGAAGACCGATTCATGATGGGTAAGACTCTTGATTAATTTGTTTATTATTATAGCTATAGAGGATGTGCAAAAATCGAATGAAATCTTGAGGTAGTATTTGCCATGTGCGTGCCTCTCCTCACCTTTGGCTCCTTGAGATTGTTCTTTCTCATGGTTGCCCAGTCATGGAGGCAAAAATCGATTTCTGGTGAGTTTAACGTGGGAGATAACAGTAATCTGGTGGTTATGCTTCTAAAATGTCTCACCACATTAATTATTATTTTTTAAGTCTCTGTTTGCTGAGAAACGTGGTTTAAGACAATCTCGGCAATCATGTTCAATGCTTTTGTTTGGTGCGTAATTTAGTACGGTTTTGATTGCTTTTTCTGAGGTTATCACGCTATATGAATTGTATGAGATAAATTTGAAAGCCCTCTTTACAGTATTCTTAATTATAGTGCAAGCTTGTTCAAGCAATATTTGAGTTGCCATCTGTTGTATTTTTTTTGTTTCATTAGTAGACTATGAAGAGTTGCCCAATGTGTGAGATGTAGGTAGCTTCAAGGGCCTGTTTTTCAGGTTTGAACCTACTTGGGGTCCTACATTGTAATGAGTTATATGGGCTTTTTAAACTGAAGTCTACTATTAAGTAGCTCATGATTTTTTGAATTGTAACTCGCTTTTGTAGCCATAGTCTTGTATGTAAGAGAAGATATTTTAGATGGTAATAGAATGTGACCTATGATGCAGTGCCCAAAATGTGAGATGTAGGTTTCTCCAAGTCCCTGTTAGTCAGGGAGAACCTACTTGGGGGGCCTACATTATAATGAGATTAATGGGCTGTTACTGAGGTCTGAACCTACTTGTTGGTACTCCTATTTGTTACAAGTTTTTACTGAGCATTATTACTTGATAGAGATGTATTCAAACTTATGTTCATGTTTTTTGCGAATGATGATATTGTCTGCAAAATGGATGCCCTGTGGACTCAAGTCCCTGTTTCAGGGAGAACCTACTTGACAAATCAGTGGATAACATGACATCAACAGATAAATCTGATGCATTTGATATTCTGTTGAATTTTTTAGTCATAGGGAAGTCTTGTTGTGCTCATCATGTATCCTATCAAAGAGCCATGCCCTGAGTTTTGTGCCTTTTCTAGTTGTTATCAACGATGATCATGTCTGCAAAATATATATTCTGTGGATTCAAGTCCCTGATTCAGGGAGAACATACTTGAGGAAGCAGTAGATAGTATGACATCAAGTGATAAATTTGAGGCACTATCTCTTAACTCATGCTTGTGGCCCTTGTTAAGTTGAGGGTGTGTGCAATGCGCTGTTGCATGATATTGTTTTCATTCAGCTTTACTGGGCCTTTGTTATGATTTAATTCCCTGTTTTGTGGGATGCTGCTCTCCCCCCTGTTTCATTTGTTATGATTGCTTCACTTACGAACTGTCAATGATTGTTCTGTCTGCAAAATGGATATGTTGTAGATCCAAGTATCTTCTTTTAAGACAACCTACTTGGTGAAACAGCATGTAATATGACATCAACTCTTTTCCTGTTTTGATTCTTTTATGCCTGAAACAGCATGCAATATGACATGAACTCATACATCTCAGACATTTGGTGTTTTCCTGTTTTGATTTTTTTTATGCCTGAATAGTGAGCATAGAGATATAAGTTGCATTATTGTGATTGCAGAAGGAAATGGAGAGGCTGAAGGAGTTGGTGAGCCCGTTGGACTTGCATCTGGTGCACTCACTCTTTTGATAAGAAGTCCAGCGAAATCATTTCCTAAGGAAACAAAAGATATGTACTGTGATTATGTGTGTTTGTAGGCATCTTTGTTGGCCGATGATTCACCCATGGGCCAGGGTCCACTGTAATTCTGTTTGATGGACGTACAAATACTTTTGTTAGCTACTTGGCATTTGCTGTCGTGCCTGTAATATCTCCCCATACTTGCGGAATTTTTTTTGGCACATCTGGGCATATGTACTTGGCTACATTCTGTAGCACGCATAAAGTCATTTTTGGTGTATCTCCTTGACTCAAAACACCTGCGTGAAGTTATTGTTTGCCAAAAGAAGTCAGATGACCTTATGAACAAGCTCCTAGCCTTACACTATCGACAAGAAGTATTGGGGCTTTCTAGGATTTGCAAGTACTTTGAAAATTGATGAGTAAAATGTTCAACTGAATGCTAGAAATGAAAAGTTGAAAACAATCCGACAGCAATTTCTGATCCATATATTCTTGAAACTGATTCTTCGTAATTAAGCTGTGTTTCTGGCTTTGGTCTCTGGCATACAAAGGAAGTGATACAGGTCGTCATGTACTGACATGTAAAAAGCCCAATTAGGCACAACGAGTGTCGCAAGACAAAGGAACCCTCTTTAATTCAAAGAAAGTGATCAGTGAGCTCTATCAACCGAGAAAAATGTTGACTTGATGAACCCTGTTTCTCGGTGGAGACGCCGGCAAGACCACCAAATCACCATCATCCATAAACGGATGATGGAGCTAGAAACCAGGGTCGTCCCACTGCAGGACAGCTGAGCCCACGTTCTGCTCCCTCTTGAGCTTGTCCTTGACGAACCAGTCGCAAACAAGGCCTGCGTTGAGCTCCTCAATGGGGACGCCTTCTTGCTCCGAAATCACTCTCAAGAGATTCAACGACGATATCTGTCACAAAAAATCACATGGTTACTCGTCATCGTCAACGGCTCGTTGAGACAAACACCTCACCTAAACTTCACAACTTTGATATGCTAATCTGCTCGCCACTGTAATATCTTTGCAATCGATCAGTAGAGATGCACACTTACGGTGAGGCGGCAGAGGAATCGCTCGTGTGTGCTGAGGCCGGACATCTCCACCAGCCCGGCCTCCTCCAAGCTGAGAAATGTTCTCTGCTCTTGCTCCCCATCACCACCACCGCCATTGCTCCGCTCTTCCTCCTCCTGCTGTTGCTGCTGCTCCTCTTCTTGGCATCTCCTCCTGACCACCAACCGCGACGCGGCGCTGGCCCTCCTGAGCTCCCCACCCGCTCCCGCTGCACAATTGCATCCAGTTAGCACTAAGCAGTAAGCACACACGCGAAGAACCGATGCAGTGGGAGGTAGTGTAACTTGTAACCACCTGCAGGGAGGCAGGGGGACGCTCGCCGGAGCAACGGCCGCGGGGACAGCAGCGCGGCCGGCCGAAGTTGATGGGCCTTGCACAAGCCGACCGCCTGCCGCATCGCCTCGATCCGTCGCGGCACGTCCCCCCCTGCTCAATTCCGGCGACACAAGATCAGCTTGGGAGAATCGAACGTGACACAAACACGAGGGACAGGAGGAAGAGGTGGTGTGCAACCGGATAACGTTAGCTTGACACACAGCCAGGCCGGGCCTTCGTATGATCACATGGGCCTTAGATTCGTCCATGTTAAGATTCGAGAGCCCAAAAAGGATTAGGCGCCGAGAGAAGAGAACTGTGTGGGATGCATCAGCTCGCTAGTGGCGCGCGTCCTTGTCACCTTACTCCATATAAACCCATATTATCCCCACGAATCCCCACGAATCTGCCAGTTGCGCACTTGCGCGTGTGGGACAAAGACGAGACGGGACGGGCGCCAAGATGGTGAGTCACCAACCCAGCCGGGACAGATAGCGAGGAGCAAGCGGCTGAAGGAAGCACCCGGTATCGCGGGAAAACCAGCGAGCGCGGCCACCTGTTTCGCGCCACCCCCACTGGCCTCCCTCCAGTATAAATCCAGCTCCACTCCAACCCTCCTCCTCAACAACAACAACAAAGCATCGTTCAATTCAGTTCACAAATCACAACAACAACAGCGCGAGAAATTTAAAGAGGAGATCATCGGATCAATCTCATCAATGGCGGGTGCAGCGAAGGCGTCGTGGATGGTGGCGATGAGCGTGGGCGCCGTGGAGGCGCTCAAGGACCAGGGCGGACTCTGCCGCTGGAACTACGCGCTGCGGTCCATCCACAAGGCAGCCAAGGCCAACGCCGCCGGCGTCTCGCAGGGCAAGAAGCTGCCTGCCTCCGCGGCGGCGGTGGCGGAGAGGAGGAGAGCGGAGAAGGCCGAGGAGGGGTTGAGGACGGTCATGTACATCAGCTGCTGGAGTACTAATTAGTGTATAAACTCGAGATACTAGTACGTAGCTAGAGCTGAAGTAGCAAACCATGGCTTGAGATTTGGCCGGTTGCTTCCTTGATGTGTATATATATCAAGATGATGATGAAAATTTCTTGTTACTAAATTGCCCCGTGGTTTTTTTGCCATGTGAATTGCGATCACGTTGGCTCGTGGATTTGTTGCCCCTGAATTTCAGTCTCTCTAGCTAGTGGCTAAGGCCATCTCTTATTTGGTTCAGATGACAGTAATTCATCCAGGTCTCCAAGTTCTAGGATTTTCAGAACTGCAACTTATTTTATCAAGGAATCTTTAAACATACGAACAGATCACTTAAAGTTCTTCTGAAGCAACTTAAAGTTATCAGGCATGCATGGATCTTGGAGGAATCAGATGTGCAGTCAGGGACCATAGCACAAGACAGGCGTCTTCTACTGGTGCTACCAGCAAATGCTGGAAGCCGGGAACACTGGGTACGTTGGAAACCACGTGATGTGAAGAAGTAAGATAAACTGTAGGAGAAAAGCATTTCGTAGTGGGCCATGAAGCCTTTCAGGACATGTATTGCAGTATGGGCCGGCCCATTACGCAATTGGACGACAACAAAGACTAGTATTAGTACCACCTCGGCTATCCACATAGATCAAAGCTGATTTAAAAGAGTTGTGCAGATGATCCGTGGCACGACCTTACTTGAACGGGATCTGTTCTATAGGCTCGTACCGTTGCATCCTTGACTAATAAGGAGGCAAGCACTTAAGCTTGGTTGATGACGCATGACCTGTGGGCCAGAGCGTGATTAACGGCCGGATCACTGGCTGATTTGATCCCACGGCTGTAGAGGATCGTTTCTTGCCGGGCCTCGCCTGGCCAGGATGGCTCTCAGGTTCTCTGACAGGCTCCCATTTTTTTTTTCGTTTTGCATTGAGTTTTCTCCGTCGCATGTTTGCAGTTTTATTTTCCGTTTTGCATTGAAATTTCTCCGTCTCATGTTTGCAGCGTGTTCAAAAAGTACGCAGCTGTATTTCACTTATTTACGGCGCCACATTTTCATGCCGTTTGTGCCAACTATCCCGAGCTAGTGAATACAGCTTGGCTTCACACAACACTGGTGACCCGCTGACCTGCTCGTACCTCGTACCGTCGTACGGCACAGCATTTGGAATTAAAGGGTGTGATCGATACTGCTTGCTGCTGCAGCAACTGTGGCTGCAAGAGCTAAAAATGGCTGCAGCGGCAGCAGCTGAAAAACAGCCACAGCCATAGCGGCAGCAGCAGATAGCAGTTCCGATCAGGCCCTAAATCCAAGTCCTACCTAAACAGGATGCTCCATTGAACAGCCAAACCGGCCTCACATGGTCTATCCAAGGACTCTACCACATCAGCTGTCTTTGCATCCCCATGTTCCCAACCCATCTTCCTCATTTTCCGCGCGCACGTTTTTTAAACTACTAAACGATGCGTTTTTTTTAAAAAGTTTTCTATACGAAAGTTGCTTAAAAATCAAATTAATTCATTTTTTTTTAAAAAAATTAGCTAATACTTAATTAATCACGCGCTAAAGGACCGCTTCGTTTTCCGTACGGGAGGGATTGGCTTCCATCACTGGACTCCGAACACAGCCATGTCCTCCAGCTAACGGTTTTCCCTACCAGCTCCCATAACTCCGCTCTAGCTCACCGTCACCCAAAGACACAAACATTAATTTTTTTAAAAAAAAAATGACTTCGACTTATATAAATAGAAACAATAACGATCAAAAGTGTATACTATATTTACAGTCGTGATTTGTTTTATGTACACTTCTATGGATACAATTTTAATTTTCATGTCCGTAAAGTGAAATATTACAAGTTTAATCTATCTTATTATTTTTCTAAAAAATATGATTTTTTTAATTGGTATGTACAAAATGAGTGTATTGTGTATGCCCATTCTTCGAGGGACAAAAACCACCCTCAATTGTCTAATTGAGCATACTGCACTAAGTTTTTTTTTTTAAGAAAAGGGAGAGTGGATTGTATATGCTGCATGGACAAGAGAAAGCGTGTTTGCTAGCTTCTCTAACATCGACGAAGTTTACATGCAAATAAAAAATTCATTTTTTTGGAAAAACAGTTGCCTCAAAGAGGTGAAGTTCATATGAGCATGCATACTGTGTTGGACCAAGGCATATACCATACCAACTCAATCTGCTAGCATTTGATCTTTGACTTCGAACAGCTAGCTTTAGGAGGGAAAGGAAAATGTGCTCCTCAGCTGACAAACTCATCCAGCCCAACGATTTTTATTATGCAGTCACTTGTTTAGCATCTGAGGAGCTGCAGTCTGGTCGCAACTCATGTGCTTCTGTCACAGATCCGACTTTACCAATAGCCAGCTAAACAAATTAACGCACCTGACCCGAACCAAACGATAGTTAAAACTTTTAAGCCACCAATCAACGCAATACTCCGAGTCTCTGAAAAATCCATTACCTTCGCAGTGGCGGCGTGCAAGGCACGAAGAAATCAAGTGAACCAAGTAAGCTCATGTCAATTGGCAATTGCCTATAGCACACAGAAAATGACTCAAGCAGAACGCTGCATTTCCAGCACCCGGATCGGAGATCACACAGCCGTACAGGCCGACAGCCGGGAGCGCAGCCAAAATCACACGGATATTCCCTCGTGTCGACCGCGTGATTACTGGAGTGTGACATGTGCATCGAAAAGCTTGACACAATAGGGCACTTGTATATCTTCGTGGAATTTTTTTTATTTTTAAATTTTTTTCTTTTAATATTTACAGAAATAATCCATCAGCGTAAAAAATTACAAAAATAGACCCTGCCGCCCTCCACTAGAGCGGCAAGCTGACGTGGCAAACGAGGGAGGGACGGGCGGTGACGACAGACGGGGGAGGGAGGGTTTTTTTCACGAAAACCCTTGCCGTTCTCTATTAGGGCGGCAAGGGGCCCCATGCAAAAAAGCCAGCCCGGGCCTAGTACTTTTTGCATCTGGGCCCCTTACCGCCCTATAGTAGGGCGGCAAGGGGTCCAGATGCAAAAAGTACCAGCCAAACTTTAGGGGCTAAATGCAATTTTTTGCAGACGGCGCCGTCGAGCCGCCGTCTGCTACGTCAGCTTGCCGCCCTCCATTAGGACGGCAGGGTCTATTTTTGTAATTTTTTGCGCCAATAGATTATTTCTGTAAATATTAAAAGAAAAAAAATTAAAAATGAAAAAAATTCTATCTTCGTGAGACTCGGCCCTCTACCTGCGTTCAGCTTCGTCGGCCCAAATTCCAGGCCCATTAGCCCAGTTGCATACTCCATGTTGCAAGTTGCAACAGTTGTGTGGGGCACGAGTCCTCGTCACGTAACGTTGTTCCTATCTTATTTCCGCCCGCACCCCGCCCCACGCGAGACGCGACGGACAAACCGCTTCCCCGCCGCGATGTGCCGATGATGCAGCAGACGAGACTAGACGAGACGAGGCGGGCCACCACTGAGCCGGGACGCACCCGGTATCTGGGAAAACCAACGCGCGCGGACACCTGATTCAGCCCGCACCACTGAATGACCCCGTCGCCCTCCCCCGTTCAAGTATAAATCCCACCGTCCACTCCCCACCAGATTCTCATCAAACATAGCACCAATCACCAATCACCTATCAGTAGTACTTCACTGCTCGCTACTAGTCCCCTGAATTCAGCGATCAGTATAACAGCGGGAAGCTCAAGAAGAGATCGTCGATCGATGGCGGGTGCAGCGAAGGCGTCGTGGATGGTGGCGATGAGCGTGGGCGCGGTGGAGGCGCTCAAGGACCAGGCGGGGCTCTGCCGCTGGAACTACGCGCTGCGGTCCATCCACCGCGCCGCCAAGGCCAACGCGCGCGCCGGCGTCTCGCGGGGCAAGAAGCTGCCTGCCTCCGCGGCGGCGGTGGCGGAGAGGAGGAGAGCGGAGAAGGCCGAGGAAGGGTTGAGGACGGTCATGTACATCAGCTGCTGGAGTACCAATTAGTATAGCTGTGCCTTCTACTCTTCTACTACTAGCTTTGCTATAGGAGTCAGGTTGGAACTTGGAAGTGGCAACCATGGCTGAGACTTGCCGGTTGCTTGTTAATTTCCTCCGGGTTGTATATACCACGATGATGATGATGAAAACTTCTGTTACTTGAGTATACTTGATGTCTCGATGTCTCATGGGTTATCAATGCTTTTGCCTTGAGAGATTTTGACAGGCATTTTTCATGGTTGTACATGATTTGGATTTTGACGGGGAAGAACCACTAGTATTTATCTTGACAAAAATGATACGACAGTATGAACCCTGCACTTTGATTACAACAATAAACATCCACGTTGAAAGTTGAATTGCTGATGAGATCATGATCAGAGATCAGTCATCAGGTTGTCAATACATTACCACGCACGAAAATCAGGCAGTGGCGCCATCAATTTATCCAGTCCTATGAATACTCCTATCTGAATAATTCCTTCTTGTTTCCTTCGTTATACCACTCAACCAATCCTAATTTCTGCCATTCTTTTTTTTACCAAATTAAACTGATGTAGCAAAATCACAATACAGTTTCTTTCCCAGTTTGTGCTAAACGATATTGAGTCGGAGGAATTGGATCAGAGTCATCAGACTGGTGCGGAAAAGCACAGGTGTCTTCTGTCTATTGCATACCCAGAATGCAATGCATCAATAAATTAAGCTGGAACGAGAAGTATTATGCAATTATTAAGCCCCTGACATCTTGGAAAACCATGTGCTCCAGCCTCTGGTTTCCCCTGTCCAGCAGCCTCCCACAACTCCGCTCTCACCATCACCCGAAGAAAACGTCGTCGGGCGATGCGAGTTGGTGCGTGAAAAGAAATGCTCACTTGTTTACTCGCTCACCAAAGAATGCAAGTACAGGATCCAGAATCATATTATACTCCCTCCGTTTCGAAATGTTTGACGCCGTTGACTTTTTAGCACATGTTGACCGTTCGTCTTATTCAAAAAATTTAAGNAATTATTAATTCTTTTTCTATCATTTGATTCATTGTTAAATATATTTTTATGTANGGCATATAATTTTACATATTTCACAAAAATTTTTGAATAAGACGAACGGTCAAACATGTGCTAAAAAGTCAACGGTGTCAAACATTTCGAAACGGAGGGAGTAGTAGATTTGGCAGATTTTGCTGAAACTTTGAGAGCGAGATAGGTAGGAGTACAGTACAGAAAGAATTGCTTTGTTCCTTACTCTGAAGAAGTTTTACCTGTTGCTGAGAGAGGAAAAATAGCTCACAGCTGATCGTCTAAGTTTCATAAACCCCAAAATTAGGCCATACAGGACTGGCCCTGCGTGGATCTGCAGCGACACGCGTCCTTATCGGTTACTCCTGCCCATGTGGGCTCCTCGCAACGGACAACCATCTCCCATACCGCGAACAGAGACAACTCGGGCCACCGAACCTGGACGAATGCGAATTCCGGCCTAATCAAGCAGAGCAGAGCACCCGGTATACTGGGAAACCAACGCGCGGCGCCTCCTGTTTCGCCCCAACCCCGTCCTTCTCCTCTCCACAGCCTCCTGCCCTCCTCCTCTATATAACCCGCCCCTCTCCTTCCTCCTCATCCTCAACACAGCATACAATAGTTCACTGCAAACCAAAAGAAGAAATCACAAACAATCCGGTCCAATTCTCAGCAAGAAAGAAGAGATCGATCCAATGGCGGGTGCAGCGAAGGCGTCTTGGATGGTGGCGATGAGCGTGGGCGCAGTGGAGGCGCTCAAGGACCAGGGCGGACTCTGCCGCTGGAACTACGCGCTGCGGTCCNTCCACAAGGCGGCCAAGGCCAACGCGCCGGCGTCTCGCAGGGCAAGAAGCTGCCTGCTCCGCGGCGGCGTACGGAGAGAGAGAGCGGAGAAGGCCGAGGAGGGTTGAGGACGGTCATGTACATCAGCTGCTGGAGCACCAATTAGTATAGCTCTGTCTACTATAGCTAGCTAATAGTAGTAGGATAGAGCGGGTTTGGAAGGGGAAGCATGGCTGAGACTTGCCGGTTGCTTGTTGAATTCCTCCTGATTGTATATACCACGAAGATGATGATGATGAAAACTTCTGTTACTTGAGTATACTGGTGTCTCGATGCCTCATGGGTTCAAAATGCTTTTGAGATCTTGGCAAGCATTTCCTGTAGCATGCAGTACGTGATTTGGTTTTTGAAGGGGAAGAACTACTTATCATGACAAAAACGAGACGACCGTACGAACCCTGCCCCTTGATTATAACAAATAAACATAATTGGACATGGCATAGTGCTACAAAGCACTAGTACTCCTGGACATGGCGTAGTACTCATACTTCTACTTCTACTGGATAGCTACAATTTCTTCTAGTACGTTTGAATTGCCGATGGGATCATGATCAACTTGGCAGTGGTGCCATCAATTTAATTTCAATCCTATGTGGATAATTCTTTCTTGTTTCCTTCTTTTTTCGCGAATGAAGATTGCACATCAATATATTAGAATAACTAGGAAGGTAGCCCGCGCATTTGCGCGGGCATGCATCGTACGCTATGTTTGAGATAAATATAAGAGCGAAATATTAAACGGAGAACATCTGCCGTGAGATATTAAATTGTTTTCATCAGTATTAATTGCTTAATAAGTTTCTAACCTATTAGTAATATCATATTTAAATAATATCTATAAGCAATTATTTATAATCTTCTTTATCATTTAAAAATAAAGTAGACTTTTTTTTAGAATACATGTCAGCGAAAGTAAATGGATATCTATTATAATAGTTCATTAAGAGATGAATTGGGTGGGACATGAAGCTCCATTAAATGTATGGGTTTATATAAGCTAATACGATTGATGTAATTTGAGAGGTGATCCATCTATGAACATTTCAAGTAGGGTGGGTGAGAGGCTCCATGCAACCTAATATGGATACGATAATAACGAAATATAATTGCACAATAATATTTTGGAAATATCATGTACCATGGATACATGCTTAACTTTTATATAAGATAGATCTAACGGTTATAACTAATAGTTCACCGGTCTAAAAGGCATATAAGTATTCCAGTAATGTAGCTGAAAAATTATGGTTATTTTAATATCCAACGTTATTGCGAAGTGAGCGTGGCTCAATTAATTGGTTAGGTTTCTTTTGGTGAAACATGCCCATGTTCAAGTCCTAGACTTGACATGGGTGTTCGCAGTTACGACTAATTATTCTTTCAGTGGTAGGTGACATACCCGTCGACAGCGAGACGCCCGTGGTGACATCGTCAGTCTCAAAATGTGCTGGCTTAGTCTTTTGGAGGTACTCAAAAGGGTAGGGTGTGCGCGGGCGGTGTTTCAAAAAAAAATCCAACATTGTCTATTGTTTTTATTTTAGTTAATAGCTAAGAAATAGCAAGGAGACAACAAAACTTATTTGCTTTTTTCTTAAATATATATGATCCAAAGTAATGAAATTTTTTAATAATGTAGTTAACTTGATTATTTAATTTTAAATTATATAGTAAATAATCTAATTTATCTCCTACTTAAACTACATTCTATCTCATTGGTTGAGCTTATGCCGGGCACGGAAAACAATGTAGGTCATCAACGCAATATTAATTAAGTATTAAATATTACAAACATTAAAATAGATAGTTTTAAAAAAATTATAGAAAATATTTGCAAAACACACACACAGTTTAATAGTTCGAAGAACATGCTCAAGATAAATGAGGGAGAGCCAATCTGATAAACACTTTAGAACTCAACCTTAAATTTATTACTAAATATGTACAAATCAAAAGCGTATATTAATTGAGTCATTAACGGCTAACTATGTTTTGCGAGAAAAAATGCAACATATTTTTAAACAATACATTTTTTATTTGAGTTTCTGACAATATGTCCCAAGTAATATTTTAATTACTCATTGTTTCATCTTGAACTATCAATGTAGACCCACTGATGCAAATAAAATCTATCTATACTCAACAATTGTGGTGTGAAATGATATGTTTATTTGATATTTTATATTATATTATAGATCTATTTTGGGGTGTGTATGTTTTATGAAGTAATATATTTTTCTTATGCTACCACCTTCATTAAATATTTGACGTTGATCATCATAAAGAAAATAAAAAAAATCCAGAGGAAGTATAATAGAAAAATCTAGTTTAAAATCGTTGTTTTCTTTCGGTAGTTTCACTAAATATTTAACGTTGGCAATGTTTTTTAAAAAATACAGAGGAAGTTCCAGTAGTACCTAGTACGTATACATGCAGTATGCTTTTTCTATTTAACTCGTACGTACGTATATGCCTTCTTGGCTTATTCCGGCCATTATATTTAGGTAAGTATTACATGGTAAATTAGGAGAGATAGATTACTATTAAATAATGGATCTAATCTAACGGTGTAAACTAATGGGTCCACCAACTTAAATGAAAATCGAGGGCTAGTTTTTTTCTTTTCTCAGAATTTCTAAGATTTTCTCTATTTTATTAGAGCGCCATGTGGCAGCTTGATAGCGTTTTTAGAGCGCCATGTGGCGGCATGCGAGCGTTTTTAGGAAGTTTAATGGACTTTTAGTATATAATAGAAGATAGAAGATAGATAATAGATAGATAGAAGATAGATAATAGATAGATAGAGTTCTTGTTACGCAATCAGCCAAACCGGTCTATACCAAGGAAAGAAGAAAACAGAGACAAAAAAAACAAGGAAGAAAAAGAAAAACTCGTACGACGGGTTACACTACTCCAAACAGCGGAAGGGAGGCAGAACCACGCTGTACTCCTAACAAGTCCCCAAAGGAAGCAACGTCCACTAACGACCACAGCCGGTCATCCGAAAGGATGGACTCTAGAACCACCGAGACCGAAAAGAGCGCAAAAACTGACTCTTTCTTATTTCCTTCTTTACAACACATCAATGAATCATCCAATCCTGATGCCCTGTTTCTTGACCAATTTAAAACGATGTATTTCCCCTCATCAAAATAAAAGAGATTTCGGTTTACTCCCCTTATCAAAATATGAGTTTTTGGTAGAATTGGATATATCATAGTATTAGTAAATCTGAAATCCAAATAAATTCTCTTATAGTTTCACTTATGTTTTAAAATGGAGGGAGTAAAGTTGCAGTTTCTTTCACAGTTTGTGTACTAGTGTGTTTAGTTCACGCTAAAATTAAAAGTTTGGTTGAAATTGGAACGATGTAATGGAAAAATTAAAAGTTTGTGTGTGTAGAAAAGTTTTGATGTGATGGAAAAGTTAAAAGTTTTAAAAAAAAGTTTAGAACTAAACTCGGTCTAAACGAGACCTATTCAGGAGATATTGGATCAGATTCGGGCGGAAAGGGGTCTGGATTGTATGCCTAGATTACAGTGCATCCGTAAACATGGAAACCATGTGCTCCGAGCCTCGGGTTTCGGTCCAAGCTAGTACTAGCCTCCCACAACTCCGGTCTCGTCACCCGCATAAAATGGTGTGCTCGTGTGATGCGAGTTGGTGCGTGAGAAGAAATGCTCATTAGGACATTTCACAGTGCGGTGAGTTGGCGTGTGGTAATCTTTATCCACGTTAGCAAAATGCATGTGTGGAGGAGAAATGGAGGTGGGGCCCGTGACTACACCTGGTTCGCGCATTCTTCTTTAGTTCCGAGAGCCACGTTAGAGCGTAACAACTTTTGTCAGAGAAAAACGAATCACATGCATCGCTCCGTGGCGAGAAAGCCGGAGAGAGGGGGGCAGAGAAGCTCGCCGGAGAAACCGCATCCGCGCCGCGTCCAAGCTCCCACTGACGTCGTGCTATCAGTGAAGGAGAGAGCGGCGCCAACTAGGGGGAGGAAGAGCCGCGACGACGGTGGGGTGAGAAGCTGCCGGAGAGGAGCTTGAGGTCGTCCACCACCAGATCCACACCAACGAGTTCGATGACATCCCGTTCCACGCCGGTTGTGAAAGCCCATAGGGGCGCCGGCGGAAAGGGGGGCATGGCGGCGGCAGCGGCTTCCCGCCCGCGGCGGATGAAGAGGTGGGGCGCGGGCGCGCGGCTGCGGTGGCTCCCCGCCCACGGCCGTCGCCGTCGCCGCTTGGCCCGCCGCTGCGGAGCCCATCGTCGTCCTCCGATCTGCGCCGACTACGGTTGTCTCCTCGACCCCGAGCTCCGCTGGCTTCGTGTTGAGGAGAGAGAGGGGGAAAGAAAGCGTCAGTTGATGGGGAGAGTATGGGGAAAAGTAAACTGAGAAACTTTTTTTATTTATATAGACCCTACTTGAGACTATATAGCACCGTGAAAACCTGTGGCTAACATTGTGTTTTGGTGTTTTTGGGTCTATATGGCATACGAAGTCCGGCAAAATGCCCTGTGAATGGTCTTAGGCTATGTTCTTTACCATAGGTTTTCCAACTCATCTCCCTCGTTTTTTGTGCGCATGATTTTCAAATCGCTAAACGGTGTATTTTTTGTAAAAAGTTTCTATACGAAAGTTGTTTAAAAAAATCATATTGATCCATTTTTGAAAAGGGAATTAGCTAATACTTAATTATTCATACGCTAATGGATCGTTCTATTTTCTGTGTGCACCGTTCTGGTTAGGAACACGCCTGAGCCAACACAGCCTTAGTTTACTCGTTCACCACGAATAAAAGCACAAATTTCTTTCCCATTAGTGCAAGTACAGACTCTAGGATGCAGGGGAATCACAAAAAGGTACTGTAGTAGATTTGGCAGATTTTGCTGAAACTTTGAAAGCGAGACAGTGCGGAGCAGAAAGCATCGTTTGTTTCCTTAAACTGAAGAAGTTTTACCTGTGTATGACAATGAGGGAGAAAAAAAAATTAAAGAAACTAGGAAGGTGGCCCGCGCGTATGCGCGGGCACTTATATTATTAAAAGGTAAGATTATTGTTTGTTCAAAAATTTTGTCTCATAGATTTAGGGCAAACTAAAGTTTGGATAATTTTATTTTATAATAATTTAAGGGTTCTATTTTTCTTAAGGTATCTTAGAAAACCATTCACGAACTTTTGAGTAGGAGATGGGTTTAGTACTTACAACTTTTAAATCATGTTTTTTTCTCGAGTAAATAAGAAACTATTGGTAGTTAATTATCATACAGTCTATCTATATACATACCGTGTAGTATGGCCGCAAATGAAAAATGCGAGTGCAAGATATTCAAAACTCTTTTGATTAAATCATCTCATGAAGGCGTGTGATATAGTAATAAAGGGAGGGAAGCATATGCATGGGAAAAAAGAAGAAAGAGAAAAATGAAAAAAAGGGAGGGGATGCGTACGAACCCGCGCACGTAGGTGCGCACCTATGCTGAGGTGGGACCCCATAATATTTAGTTTGTTCTAAGATCAATTTAATCTAACGGTTTATAATATTGGACCTACCGATTTAAGTGAAAATTAAGTAATAGATAATTTTATTTTTTTTCTTAGAATTTCTAATATTTGCCCTAATTTATTAGAGCACCACGCGGCAGCTTGAGAGCATTTTAAGAAATTTTAAATGACTAATTAGAATATTAACTGCGCAATATATATGTATGGGATATATGGTAATATTTGTTCCAACTTCGTCCTTGTTTATATAAATGTAGAGAGAAATTAATTTTGTGGCTAGCAAGCCATTAGATGTCTAACTAATAGCAATTAATTTTGACACCTATTTACAATTGTTCAGAGTAACTCTTATATATTCATCTTACGACTTCGATAATCCATTGATCACCAATTTACTAATCACCATGACTTGCATGAAAAAAAAATATGTAGTAAGGTTTAGGATAGCTGAAATTGATGAATTATATAATTTATGTGATAGCTATTTGAGGGTATAAACGAATGAATTGACTTCTAAAACGTTAAAATGTTGTTTAAATAAGACACCATTTAGAAACTTAAAAAGCGTGCAAACAAAAATCCAAAATATGGAATCGGGAAAATAATTAATCGCTGCATCACACCTTTAATTTTCTTTTCATGTTATTAATAAAATTAATCATCTCCATATATGATTTGATATGTGGCAAAACGGTAGCGCTACATCGGTTGTGATCACCTTAGATGTCTCAGACACTGCGCTTTGTTACATGTGCGAAAGGCAAAGGTGCAGACGTATATTGTGCAGCGAGCAAAAAGAGAATTTCGGACGCTTTATTTATTAGCAAACAATAGATCCGATGATTATAATAATATGTCCACCAGTTCTAGTGTAAGTGTAAATGAGTTAATATAGATTTTAAATTGTTATTTTAATGGGTACATAATATAATGGTGTAGACCTTACTTTGAAACAGTGCATTACGTGAGAATAATAGACCAATGTAATAAAAAGTAGATCCGATGATTTATATAATGGGGCCATCAGTTTTAGTGCACGTATAAATTAGTTAATATAGATATTGTTTATTTGATAGGTACATGATATAATTGTGTAAAATTTATTTTAAAATAGTGCATTATTTGAAAATAGTAGTACAAAGTAAAAAAGTACACCGGTTTAAGTTATATGATGGTAGATTATTTGTTTGTAAAATTATGATTAATTATTTAAAAATATATCCATTATATATATAAATGGGAAAAATAAGAAAAAAAAGAAAAAAAGGAAAAAAAAGGGGGGGAAGGAGGCGTACGTATGTACGTACGTATATACTACACCTGCCAATGTGTGGGAAGAGGATAGGTGGGACCATGGTATTTAGTTTGTTTTAAGATCAATTTTATCTAACGGTGTATAATATTGGACCCACCAATTTAAGTAAAAATTAAGGGATAGATGTTTTGCTTTTTTCTTAGAATTTCTAGGATTTTCTCTATTTTATTAGAGCGCCACGTGGCGGCTTGAGAGCGTTTATAGAAAGTTTCATGGACTTTTAGTATACATGATATAATTGTGTAAAATTTATTTTAAAATAGTGCATTATTTGAAAATAGTAGTACAAAGTAAAAAAGTACACCGGTTTAAGTTATATGATGGTAGATTATTTGTTTGTAAAATTATGATTAATTATTTAAAAATATATCCATTATATATATAAATGGAAAAAATAAGAAAAAAAAGAAAAAAAGGAAAAAAAAAGGGGGGGGAAGGAGGCGTACGTATGTACGTACGTATATACTACACCTGCCAATGTGTGGGAAGAGGATAGGTGGGACCATGGTATTTAGTTTGTTTTAAGATCAATTTTATCTAACGGTGTATAATATTGGACCTACCAATTTAAGTAAAAATTAAGGGATAGATGTTTTGCTTTTTTCTTAGAATTTCTAGGATTTTCTCTATTTTATTAGAGCGCCACGTGGCGGCTTGAGAGCGTTTATAGAAAGTTTCATGGACTTTTAGTATATAATAATAATAGAATAGATGATTGAATAACTATTGCTGAAGGAGGAAGAATGGTTTACAGTGCTGAGCTAAACACAAAACTCAGGCCCATGCAGACACTAGCCCTTCGTGGCATCTCAAGTGACACGCGTCCTCATCGGTTACACTGCTCATGTGGACCCTCGCAACGGACAACCAGCTTCCATACCGCCAACAGAGACGCCTCGAGATGAGGTGGATGCGGGCCACCGAGCCTGGACGAAAGCGAATTCCGGCGTAATCAAGCAGAGCAAAGCACCCGGTATCCTGGGAAACCAACGCGCGGCGCCTCCTTGTTTCGCCCAACCCGTCGTTCTCCTCTCCACACCCTCCTCTATATAACCCGAGTTCCCTCTTTCTCACCAGCACAGCATCAACTACTCAGCATTGCAACAACTCTACTGCAAACCAAATCAGGAGCAAGAAACCACAGGACAATCCGGTCGATCTTAGCAAGAAAGAAGAGAGCTCGATCAATGGCGGGTGCAGCGAAGGCGTCGTGGATGGTGGCGATGAGCGTGGGCGCCGTGGAGGCGCTCAAGGACCAGGGCGGACTCTGCCGCTGGAACTACGCGCTGCGGTCCATCCACAAAGCAGCCAAGGCCAACGCCGCCGGCGTCTCTCAGGGCAAGAAGCTGCCTGCTTCTGCGGCGGCGGTGGCGGAGAGGAGGAGAGCGGAGAAGGCCGAGGAGGGGCTGAGGACGGTCATGTACCTCAGCTGCTGGGGTCCCAATTGTTAGATAGATCTCTCTCCCCTTGAGCCCAACGGCTCAAGGGGGCCTTGACCGCGCCCTGATCGGGGGCGCCCAGCCCAATGGCTGGTGGGCCCCCGTCACACTGCGCCATATAAAAGAGGGGTGGAGGCCGGCACGGCACATCGTACGAGATTCACCGCCGCCGCCAACTCCACCCCACAAAACCCTAATCCGATCGAGAGGGGGCGCAGCCAGTGACGGGAAACGCCACCGCCGCGCCACGCCTCATCGCCGGGACGTCTACGACCACCACTGCCGCAGCCGTCATCACCGTCGACCTCACCGGCGCCGCATCCACGTCAAGCCGCGACGACAACGACGATGTCTGGCGCCTCTTCCTCCACGAACTCCTCAACCGGTCGGTATCTAAACCCTCTCCCTTTCATCTACAATGTCGTTCATCAAACCCAAATAGAACCACCCGACTAGATCTAACCTAGGTGATCCTAGAGCAAAGTATAACAATGGTATCAGAGCAACCCTAGTGTTTAGATCGTTTCGGGGAAAGAAATCCAAAGAAAGAAAAGCACAAGATCCGCACGGATCAAAAGAACCAAAAACCCTAACCCTAATTCTTACCTCGTCGCCGGCCGTCGTCAACGCCGGCAACGGAGGGGGGGAGGGGCAAAGAGGCGCCGCCTAGGAGCCACTCGACGGCCGCGCGCGCACCTGCACGCGCGTGCCGGCGAGGGGGCCCGCGGCGGCGCCGCCATCTCCGTCGTCGCCATCTCTCTCTCACACGGTGGGGGTTAGAGACGGTGGGGGGAGCGGAGAAGAGAAAAGAAAGGAGCGCCGGCCATGGCGCGGCGGCGCGAGGGCCGCCGGCGTCGGCGACGCCGCTCGGCGCGACCGCGCCCGCCCGAGAGAGAGAAAGAGAGGAGAAGCTAGGGTTTCGGCGGCCGGCCGGGGCACGAGGGGTTTTGATCCCCGTTTTCGGCGCCCGGCCGTCCGATCGCAAACCCTAAGATCGGACGGCCGGCGGCGGCCGGACCGAAATCGGCCCAAGTGGGGAGCGCGCGGCGGCGGCTTTCCCGGCCCAGGCCCAGGTTGCGGCCTGGGGGAGGGGAGGGGGCGCTCGCCCGCGCGCAAGGTGGCCATGGGCCGACCGGCAAAGGCCGGAAAAAGTCCATATAAGGTCCCTCCGGGGCCGAAAATGAATAAAAGAGAACAGTAGCAATTTTTCCATTTTATTTTGTCAATTTTTCATGCAAATTTCAATAGAATTTTGAATAGATTTTTGCATGTTTTACCTCAGTTTAAATTTGAACCAACGGGAGAATTTTCACAGAGAGAGAATTACAGAGATTTTGCTACTGTTCATATGATTTTATATAGTCTTCCGCTGCAAATAGATGAAATTGATGAAAATTAGTGTTTCTAAAATTAAATTTCGAACCAACGGGAGAATTTAATTTTAGGAACATTAATTATGTGCTATGATGTTGTAATTTTCTGACCAACGTTGTTAATTGCAATATTATAGTTATGGTTATATGTGTTATGTCTAATTCTGCCCAACGGTGATGTAGGCTTAATGCATAATATTTTAATGTTAATTTTGTTCTCACCGCACATGATTATTTCAGGTGGCTACTCCTTGATGGGTTGCATTAAAGATATTCCGACCCTAAAAGGAGATAACTACGCAGAATGGAAAAGAAAACTCGACCTTGCTTTTATCTTGGGAGAGGTGGACTGGGTATTGACTACCCCATGTCCTATAGAACCTGCTGACCTTGTCAGAGGTGAAAATGAGTCAGATGCTGACTGGCAAAAGAGACAGAGGGACAATGCTCCTCTCGTCATGTCGTATGACATTGAACAAAAGAAATGGTCCTTAGCCAACAAGAAATGTTTGGCTGTGGTAAAGAATACAATTGAGCCTACCATATTGGGCTCGATCCCAGAGTGTGACGCTGTCTCAGAGTACCTTGAAAGAATAAAGAGTCAGTTTACTGGCTCTTCAAAGACTTATGCTACACAGCTGATCAAGCAGCTTGTGACAGAAAGGTACCATGGAGGTGGTGTTAGAGACCACATACTTAGAATGAGCAACATGGCTTCCAAATTGAAGCCAATGGATTTGGGCATAACAGATGACTTTCTGGTCCATCTGGTTATGGCCTCATTGCCAAAGCAGTTTGACAATTTTATTGTCAACTACAACATAAGTCCAGAGAAATGGAACTTTGAGAAGCTCATTGCTAATTGTGTGCAAGAGGAGGAGAGAATCAAAGAATCAAATGGTGGTTCAATAAACTATGTTAAAGATAAGAAAAAGAACCACAAGTCTCCCACCTCAAAAGGTAAACAGTCTCAGCATCTGCCTCAACAACAACAGTTCGCTGTTGAGAAAGATCAATGTCTCCACTGCAAGAAGACAGGACACTACAAGAAAGATTGTCCTGACTTTTTGAAAATGATCATGGCAAAGAAAGGTGAGAACATTATTACATTTGTAAATGAATCTCATTATGTTGGTTACTCTAGATCCACATGGTGGATTGATTCTGGAGCAACTATTCATGCTTGTAATTGTTTAAAGGCATTCCGTTCGACGAGGACTACGCAAAGAAGAGAAAGCACCATTAGAGTTGCCAATGGAGTTGAAGAAAAAGTTGAAGCTGTTGGAGATCTTCCTCTAGAGCTCGCGAATGGCTTCATACTTTTACTTCGAGATGTCTTTTATGTTCCTTCTTTGCAAAGGAACTTAATAAGTGTATCAAAGTTGGATTTTGATGGATATGATTGCCGCTTTGGAAGTGGCAAATGTGAACTATGGCATAATAATGCATGTATTGGTCTTGCTGTGTTGCGAGACGAGCTTTATTTGTTATCTCTTTCTGAGAATGTGAATGTTGTGTCCTCGTTGACAAAAGAAAACAAGAAAAGAAAGCGAACTCCCGATGTCTCATCGAAATTATGGCACTGTCGTTTGGGCCATATTTCGAGGGGGAGAATTGAGAGACTAGTTAAGAATGAAATTCTTCCTCCATTGGAGTTCTCAGACTTAGAACAATGCATAGAATGCATTAAAGGAAAATTTGTAAAGAGCATCAAAAAGGGTGCAAAACGAAGCGCAGGAATTTTAGAGATCATTCATACAGATATTTGTGGTCCATTTCCTGTGAAAAGTGTGGATGGCTATGACTCGTTCATAACATTCACAGATGATTACTCCCGCTATGGTTATATTTATCCAATTAAAGAGCGATCAGAAGCACTGGATAAATTTAAGATATTCAAAGCTGAAGTTGAAAATCAGCATGATATAAAGATTAAAGTAGTAAGATCTGACCGTGGGGGGGAGTACTATGGTCGACATACGCCTTATGGGCAAGTCCCTGGACCTTTTGCAAGGTTCTTGCTAGAGAATGGAATAGTAGCCCAGTATTCAACACCGGGCGAACCTCAACAGAATGGGGTAGCAGAAAGGCGCAACCGTACGCTTATGGATATGGTGCGCAGCATGATGAGCTACTCCACACTACCACTCGGTTTATGGATGGAGGCGTTAAAAACCACCATTCATATTCTCAACAGAGTTCCAAGCAAATCGGTGCCCAAAACACCGTATGAGCTATGGACAGGGAGAGTACCCTCGCTAACTCACCTCCGTGTGTGGGGGAGTCCTGCAGAGGCCAAAGTATTTAACCCAAATATTGGGAAGTTGGACCCCAAAACAGTCAGTTGCCATTTTATTGGCTATCCTGAAAGATCAAAAGGCTATCGTTTCTACTGTCCAAACAGTTATACAAAGTTTGTAGAAACGAGACACGCCGTCTTCTTGGAAGACGAAATGATTAGGGGGAGCTCGGTAGTTTGAGAAATTGATCTTGAGGAGAGGCGGGTGTCTGTACCTGCTCCGTCGACTCAGGAACCTTTCTTCTCTCTACCTGCTGATGTTGTGCCTGCAATGCCTGTCATTGAGGTACCAGCACTGACGGAGCTCGTGGCTCCTCACCGGGAGACCGCGCAGGCCCCCCTTTGCCAGTTCGGCCGGGGGCTTAGGGTGAAATCTCAAGCTCTCGCTCTCCCTCTGTATCTGGAAAGATCGTCTGCCCGCAAGACACACGAGACACGGCGATGTATACAGGTTCGGGCCGCTGCGAAGCGTAATACCCTACTCCTGTGTTTTTGTGGATTTGTGTATGAATGAGCTACAAAGTGTGAGCCAACTTCTCCCCCGTTCTAAGCTCTAAATCTGGAAAAGAATCAAAAAAAACCCCCCTCTCTATGGGCAAGGTCCTCCTTTTATACTTCAAGGGGATACCACATGCACCCTTCCCTTTCCAAACTGGACTTTTCTTCTCTTTATGGACGGAGATTGGTATGGTTGCTGTCCGAATGACACTCCGATGGGACAGCCCACACCTACCTCCACTCCCGGCGGAGACAGGCGCAACGTGGGATCGTGGCTGCCCGTTGCTGACGCGACCAGTGCCAGACCGGTCATTCTTGTCCACCACGCGTCAGTTTAACAACATGCATGTTTGCCCTTCCTTGTGTAACACCTTGCCTGTAATGGTTAGGATGAAGCCTGGTATATATCGATCGGGGTTAACGTGCCATCTCTGGGATGTAACACGCTAGCTCCAGCTGGGGACGAGTGCTTAGAAGCTCACACCTTGACGGGATGGGGTAAGGCGTGCGTCAGACCGCCAGTCGCCACCTAACCCGTGATCTGACCGGTCTGTGACTGGTCACAGACCGGATAAAGGAACGCGCCGTACTGCGCTGCATGCAGCGTGACACGCTTGACCAGACTGCAATAAATGCTGTTAGGTGAGCACAGCTGTGCTCACTTATCCCATATATGTGGCGCAGACTTCCTTAAGGGGGTCGGGGTGCCTCGGCCCTCGGGGCCGGGGCAAGCGCAACCCGACCCCCCCTCGGGGGAAATCAGGAGGAGGGCGGACACCTCACCCTCGGGCCCGACGTCCCCGAAGGTGCCAGGCCACGTGGGCGATTGTG